GTCAGAGGTTACTTGACACGATGGAGATAGGCTACAGTGAAAAGGTTAGTGTCAAGTTAGCTCTGAAGCTCAGGGTGCAATATACAGACATTAGTAAAACCATTGAAAAACAGATGATGGAATATGGTGAGCTTACTTGACTGGAGAGTCTTCAGTGGGCTCCTCTTTTATCTGAATGTCAACATCTATCTCTATGCTGGAATATTAGTTAACAGAGAAGTTAATACAGACAAGAATGAAGAAAACTGATACAGCCAATGCCAAAGTAAGGCTGCAAGCATAAACAACATTTAACACCTCAAAATATAAATTGGTATCTTGGGTACTGCAGAAAACATTTCTAATAATAATAATAATAATAATAATAATAATAATAATAGCATAAATAATTATTGACAATAAAAATTTAATCTGACTCCAAAAAGGAAATGAGAGTGGTATATTTAGATTGTTTAAACCTCACCCAAGTATAAATTGATCATTTAGGAATTTCACTAAAATACAAAGCAACATGGGGGCTTTTTTTATTGTTGTTTACCTATCGTCCTTCTTGTCCACAAGTGTCTGCAACACCCCATCCAGGCGACTTCTGGCAGTAACAACCTCTGTGTTGTTGTCTACAAAGACAACGGTTTAAATGCAAAAGAAAATGAGAGAAAATTCAACAAAACTTATCAGTCACATGCAATGTTTGCTGACTCTAATACTCTATATTCGAATGATAGTGGGCGCACTGCATTTTTTATTATATTCTAATATCATTTTCGACCAGATTTTCATTTTTATTGCATGTTGTTTTAGTGGAATTGTTTCTTTGAAATGTTAGGGGTACTGTCTGTAACATTTAAGCAATATATAAAACAAACAAACAAACACAATAGGTCTACGCAAATGTCACAGGCATGCTGCATATGACATGTCGGTTTAGACGTCGTCAAAATGCTCAGAACTTGGATAGAACTGGAGTCGAAACAGGATCAGAACAGCGAACGAATCCCAAAAAAATAATGCATAATTCCATACCTGATCTCGATCTTGAACTCATTTTCATGCACAACTGACAGTTCGCTTAGCACCCTGATGTAAACCCACTACATATGATACTATAATATGATAATAATCACTGGTTAGTTTTGTGTATCAACTCAGCCCGCGGCTTCAAAGCGCACGCCATTTGCGGAACTGCCCGGATGTGCCTCGTTTCAAGTCAAAACAGAAGAGACAGGAAGTTGGCAAGAGTAGACAGCAGATTTAGTGAGTGGAATGTTATTTTTGGTGAGTTTGAGATAATCCTTCCGCATTAACGCAGTTACTGATAACCGTGCATCAAATAAAACGTTACAGATGCGTAGGCAATACGTGAAAATGCACCGGATATGTGTGTCATAGACTTCACTGTAAATCAAATTTTACTCTACATGAACCTCGGAACAATGAAAGATAGATCTATCTACATCATTTTACATGATTGTACTGTAGTGTAATATTACACATACCCGTTATCCAAGAATTTAAATGGCATTGTTGTCGTAAAGTTGACATATGCGGCATTAAAAAATTATTACATCAATTGAAAAGAGTCAAAGAAGTGTCAGAGAAAAAATTATATTTATGGATAATTAATTTTACTGTTGTGTTTGAGCATTTTCTTTCCTTATTTGCTTATTTTTTTTTAGTTTAGATAGAATTCTGAGCAGAATTTCTGTCTGGTTTGGATTTATTTTGTTGTTTGCCAAAATCTTTGTTCCCCAAATTAAATAAGTTGTATGTATTTGGATTCTATTCATAGTGAATTTTCCCTCTAAGCATGGTGGTGTAATTTGCTTTGATAAGTGTAACTTTTTTAGTATCATTTTATCTTTTGCACAGAAAAGTAGAATGGCCATTGCTTAAGATTACCAGTACATCTTGAAATTTACACAATCCATTCTGGATCGGATCCAGATAAAACCCTACATATGTGTGTCTAATTACAAATCAAGACACAAATCAAGTGGCATAATTACAAAGAAACACACATGGGCAGAATTTTGTGAGTTGGTTGTTAGTGGATTTGTGTACAGCTTTACATATGTACACAAATCAGACTATTCCATTCCGACCATTTGGTCAGGATGAAAGGTTCAATTGTACCTTGATGGATGCAGTTTTTTTTTTTTTTTTTGTAAGTGGGACAAATATATCCAGCAAATTGCAGGCGTATGGGTATACCCCTTATATGCACAGTTAGGCTTTTGAAGGAAGTTGGTACTCCAGCCAAAACTTTGTTCCATATCAGAAATATTTAAAAAAAATCTTCCTATGGTGAATACATTTCAAAATTAGTCCAAAGAATAAAATTATTGCATATTACAATCAATTAAAAACAATTTCAAAATTCATAAAACAGGTTTATGACCTTAAAATCCTGCTTAGACCTTATGCTTAAAAGGATCTGGTTTATGTTTTGGAAGTAGCAACAAGTAAGGCCACACTTTTTTAATTTTATGGATGACATCCTGCGCGCGCACGGATTTTGGCCCGTTCTCCGAAAAAAAAAAAAAAAAAGCCCCCCCGCCCCCAACGTAGTCGGTTGTCGAAAACGTTGTTATTGAATTTGCAAGGAAATGAGCTTTCTGCGCATGCGTATTTTAGCCACGTGGAAATGCGGCCACTTTGCTGTCAAATTCATCTCTAGGATTACTTTCAAATTACACAACAATAAAAGTCATAAAGAGAACGGGCGCCATCGTTTTGGATTGGTATGCCATTGATATTGGGCATGGAGATATCANTAAAGGCAAATCACAAACTTTTTGTTCATTGGGCCACCATCATTAAAGATAAATTGTCTGCCTACTTGTATCAAGTAAAGCTAAAATATGTAATATTTGTCACAAACCATGACAGGCTAATGCCCTGTAGGGAAAGAAAATTTCTCTCTTGGATTGTGGCATATTTAGCTGCTAATAAACAACCTCAGCTGTCAAATGACAGTTAGCAAGAAGACCCCTGATTATATTTGGAGGGAACCCTACAGGGGCAGATTCATGATTCAGTGCAACTACTGTAACTTGTGGTATCACGAATTCTGTTTCAATGTCACTTTAATAAACAACAGAAATATTATAAAACAACAAACACAGATGTGCAAACTGTCAAATCTAATCCTAATTGTACATTGTTATTACAGATATGGCAAGCAACAATGAGCAAGCACCAATTGTAAAGGAATTAAATGTAAGATTACAACATGGGTATCCTATTCATGTCCCAGGCACCAAATTTGTGCAGGACTTGGTCCAGGGTTTACCTGGGGAAGATCAACAATGTTATTTTAGAACCCTGGTGTCAGGGATGGCTGCCATTTATAAAAAGGAGCTTCGTTCACCTGCTAGGTCTGCCCTGGCTTTAGCATGGCTGCAGCAAGTGGCTTACCAGCTTCAATCTAGGGGCCTTGCGTCCAAAACCTGGATTGACAAAAATGTGTGGCGCCTTACCAAGAACTTTATACCACCTGGGCAGGTTGTGAAGTCTGCACCCTCTGAGGTGTGTGGCGGATCATCCTGTGTCTTCAGGCCTGGGGCGGGTCCAAACATGACTGTTGTTACCCAGGTGGTCGATGAGGGTTTTCCAGTGGAGCCAATGCAGGGGGTATCGCACTGGGGCCAGTCAGAACTTGGTGTGAGATCAAAAAATATCGATCCCAACTCCAGCCCTCACTGCAGTCAGGGGGGTAGAATTTTAGGAGTCCCGAGGGAAGCTGAGCCTAGTGTTACTCCTCCGGGTTTACCACATACTTCTAAGCCAGGCCCAAGCTTGCAGCAGAATACCACAATCCCGATTAACCCTTCTCTTTCTTCTTCTTCGGGTTTACACTTTGAAGCAGCTGCTCCAGCAGGAACTCCAGGTTCTGCTCCTGTATCTAAATCAAATCAGTCCACAGGGAGTGTTAAGCGAAAGGGGAAGAAGAGGGCTCCTTGGTGGAGGCAGGGCAAAAAAACTGGCAAGGTTTCAGCTGCGGCGAAATCTAAAGTTGATAAACGTGTTGGTCCAATGGAGCTTCCTCCTCCTTCAGCTAGGGATACTGAAAGGTTTCTCCAAATGACATCTCGAGTGGTTGGACCTGATCCCAAAAGGGCCAGGAAAGATCACCCGAAGATGCTTTGTGTGGTCCCTGGGTGTGGGGTGAGGTTGGAGAGACATATGCTCAGGGAACATTCACTGGGTCTGCATGTTCCATCTATCTTTTGTGAGCAAGCCAACCTTGAGCCCAATATCTTGGGCATAATGGTGAAGGCATTGGAGATGATGACCATTTTCATTTTTGGTTTCAAGCAAGAGCTGGATTCGTTGTACCAGTTTGTTTCGGCCTTGCCTGATATATTAGATTTGCAACATGGCTTGTTTTCACCACTTCAAATTTCTGCCATGCAAAATTTCTGCAAATTCCTAAATAAGCCAGTCCCAGCACATTTCACCTTATACCCTGCCAACTCTGTCGGGGTACTGCTGGACTGGAGAGTCCTCACACAGCTGTCTGCTTCTATCACGGAGCAGCAGAGGTTGTTGTGGACCCGAGGGTTCAGCGGGCCAGAAACTGGTCTGGAGGCTGGGGAACCAAGAAAGTTAGTATGGCCAGCTTTCGACAGCCACTATCGCTTAGATAGATCTATAGCTGCCTTTGGTCATTCAGACTCAGGCAAGTTGGAAAATCTTAGAGGTATGGCTCCTGTTTGTTCCGGGAAAGAGGTAGATTTGCTGGGAACGGTGGCTGTGTATTGCGATCCCAAGACATATCCCTCTAAAGGGTATCTCTCTACTTTGTCTAAGGTCGAGTATGTAGCCATTGGTTTCCACCCAAAGCTAGCTGGTAAGCTTTCCCAGGGCACACTGACCCAGGCCATTAAGGCTCTCTCAGAATTAGTCAAGGTACCGTCAGTTACAGCATTTGGCCTGATAGGTTTCGATCATACGGAACCCATGTCAAAATGGCAGGATCAGGTAGAGTTGCTTCACAGAATTTTGCCATTTCTAGAACCTAGGCACGTCCTAGTGGTACACTGTAGAGGCATGAAGGGGGACTCTGAAGGTGGTGAGTTCGCCATACGTTCCCTTCTATTTCATCTAAAACTGTGTGGTGTTCCACAGTCCCAGAAAATCCACTTCCATTGCTTCACAGGCACCAAGTCTCTCTTGGAAATTTGGAGAAAGCAGCAGCCAAACACTTACTTTGGTTTCACGCGGCTTGCTGCTAATTTTAACCAACATCAACTTGCAGCACTTAGGACGGTTCCTGACTCTAAGCTTCTCTTGGAGTCGGATGCCCCCTATACTGCTGCCACAAAGGGGGGCCACTCAACTCACTATATCATTTATGAAACAGCAGATATTCTAGCACGGCACAGAGGGGTGAATGTGGGCCATGTTTTAAAAGTTACAACTGAAAATGGTATTACTGTCTATAGAAGGTAATAATCCGCACAGTATAATAGACTATCACTATGTGATGTAGTTGACAGTTGTATCATATGACTACAGCCTATTTTGATTTTATTTTTGACTTTCCAGTATTTCATTTATTTGAATAGACTATCACTGAGTGAGTGATGTGACTAACTGGTGAGTTAACAGTTATCACAGTCTGTTCTGTTGTTTGTTTATTTTTATTTTATTTATTTATTTATTTTTTTTCAGCAGACTATCACTCCAGTGATGTCGTTAGCGTTAACAATAGCTAACATCAGTCTGCTCAAATCTATTGACTGGAAATCACTATTTCATTTTTTTGAGGATTTATACATGTCTAAACAAGTATTGTTAAATTAATTTTTGCAAAACTTCCCTATTTTGGCTCTTTTTGAATAAAAGTGGGGGGAATGTTGTGATCGAGCATTTTCTTTCCTTTACCTGGTCAGCTTTTCATGGGCCAAGATTTTTATACTGAGGTGAGTTACACACAGGTCAGGTGGAGAGGTGACACCCTCACATTATCTACACCTGAGATATCCGTGTCAGGATGTCCCTGTAGATCCAGATCTGTATAGATATATAAAGGCAACACACAGTGATCTGTAATCTCACTCAGTAAGTGGAAACAGTGAATTTCTGATTATTTATTAAATAAGCCACATGCTATACAGGCTCATAGCCAGGGGAGAATCGAGGGGTTCGAACGAACCGCCTTTTTTGCTGGAAAATGGCTGAAGGTCCATTTTTTCAGAAAAAGACACCCCCCTTTTGAAGTTACTGGCCTAGGGCCTGCTATAGCACAAGTTCAGACAGATCCTGGTTTATGTTGTATATATTTTGTTTTCAGTATCATACAAACACCAATATGTGAATTCACCCCCTTATTACCATAGAAGCCTACAGGCAGCTATCACCATAGCAATATATCATCATGGCTGATGATGACCAACCTGACCATGAAAATCCCAGTGAAACTGATAAACATATCAAACTGGATAGGTAAGTTCTATTTGTAGACATTTTAATGGTAATGTTGTCATTTTACTTAGTTATATATTTAACATTTTGGGAGAAATAAAAACAAAGAAGTTGAATTATTATTTTTTTTTACACTGAAGGGTAGTACCCTAGAAAGTTGTATCAATTGTGTTGTAATCTAGTCCTAATTAAGTCTGTGCAAATCATAGGAGTGGTCATGCACAGTAACTTATGTACATGAGCAGAACATTCCTAACTTGAATTTTTTTCATTAATCTTTTTAGGTAGATACAGTATTAAGTTGTCCTTGTAGTGCCAGACTCTGGGTTTCATTCATAGAGTACTCAAATTTTCTTTTGTCTTCTCCTTGCAGAGCAGCCAGTGCACTGTCCAACCATAGAACTCAGCTATACTTTGATGTGGCGGAGACATGCTGGCCTTTGATCTACTGCTCAGAGTACAACATTAGTTTCTGGGGCATGGAGAAAGTGCATCCATTTGATGCTGGGAAGTGGGGCAGAGTCTATGAGTTTCTTAAAGGTGGAATACCCATATCATATGTGATTGTCTAAGCTTAAGACTACAGATTAAATGCAATTTTATCTTTAAATTGTCAAGCTAAACTTAAAGATTATTAACTTGGCTATAGAAAGTAAGATTTTAAAAATAATTATATGGTTGTACCTAAACTGAAATACCCACAGTTGTTGGATGTTGGTAAACCTGTGAACGATTCTCACTTGGGGCATTCAGCCTGATGATGCTCTTGTGACAAGAGCGAAACAAAGCAGTTTCACTAATATTTTGTTCCTAAATAAAAGATTACTATAATGATTACTAAAACATCTAATTTCAGTAAATATAATTGGTCTTATTGTTCGCTTGTTCCAGAGGCAGGAATGATCAGGGATGACACCACCGTACGGCCACGCGAAGCCTCTGCAGATGATCTGATGATTGTCCACCCCAAGAGATATCTGGACAGTCTGAAGGTAATGTGAACTCACTGACCATAGTCTAGGGATAGATTTTATCAGCCATTTTTGTAAGGATTGCCCCTGAAAAAATTTCAATCAGATTATGGAAAGTTGTTTTGGCATGAGGGTATTGCATGACTTTTAAGCCTTCTTTAAATTAAAATTTCACTCCTTTATGCTAAGTAGCTGTTAATAAAGCGACAGGAGAAGGTGAACTGATTGACCTTGAAATAAATTGTTTATTTTAATTGTTTAGCCTTTGCCACGATCTCTCTCTCTCTTTGCTTTCTGACAGCTTGCTACTATTGTGGATGGTATTATCACAGAGGTATATGGAAGGGAAAAATGTTATTTAAATTTTCTTTCTTGGAGAATTTGAATAATATTCTTACCATCAGGAGGTTTGTTGTAAAAATTCCAAGTGTCAGCATAATGAAAGATGGGTTGAAGCTGGTTTTCTGTGGGGATAGTGGAGTTTGGTGGTATTCTGTTGAAATTAAGAATTTACTAACATCTGCTAATGACTGATTTCTGTATATATCTAGGTTAGAGTATTACAATCAGTTAATTGATTTTTAAAGAAAATAAGATTTTTCATGACAGTTATCAATAAATGAAGGTTGTTGTTTATATCAGTATCTGTCCTGAAAAAATTAAAATAAGTATAGAAAAACTTGTACATATTATCTCTTTTTGAATACCAGTTTACAGTCATCGCAGTCTTGATTTCTTATATTTTAATCCTCTGCCTTGATATTGTTGCTCATCTCATACTTACCAAGTCATTTATTTAACTCATTACTAAAATATTAAAGAAACCTTTTTGGGAAAGGAAATGAAATGCTAATTCAACAACATCCCTCTCTATACTGCTGCACACATGTGTATCAACAGTCACTGTATGGATCAGTTTACTCTTATTAAATAATGTATTGTTTATGAATGTTTTGTATATAATTTTTTTCTTGAATTAACTTACTTTAGTAATTTCTCCTCCTATCAGTCAAGCTTTTTTGAGACGAAGTTGCACACATATACAACTGTACCTGTATGAGATGAGATACCATTCAGAGCAGTGAAAATGAAATTCAGGAAATCAAGTTGCTGACACAGTTTTTCCCAGCATTATTTTGTACTTATTGTGTACCACTGTGACAGTGTACCCCACAATGAAGCATGGCTTTTGATATAGTGCTTTTATTCAGATTTATTTAGTGCTTGTACATGTATGGTCATGACCAGCAATGTCTTATTGGTAATTTAACCATTCAAGTCCATTTGCAGGATACAGTTTGAGAACAATCTTAAAATTGCCTAAATTTGTAAATCAAGATTTATTGTGAAAAAAGGGTCCAGGAAATGGTTAGATTGCTTCAGTGAATTGTCGTGACCATCCCAGGGAGATCGTGTTATTTCTCTTCTATAACCATTCCATTCACTTAGTGCTGAAAATCTTCCTCGTGTTGAAAAAGCATTTTTCGAAATCGGCACTATGCATGGCATTTGTACATATAGTCAAAGTCATACTAGCATGCATATATATGATTTAAATAATACTCAAATTGGCAAAGAAAATTATTTTACTTTTAATAAATTATAATAATGTTAGAAAAGGAAAAATGTTAGGAATTATTTTCTTAAACCTGAGTGAATAATTTCTAATATAAGCAAGTAAAGAGAAATTAATATGCATGCACGAGCCTAGCTCCTGTTCCATGCCCTAGTATTGGAAACTAATACATCTTACCTAACAGATACTTAGACGTATACCAGTGCACAAGGCTTTCTCCAGAGAGTCCCTGTACCCCAAATCCTAGGGAAACCCTTGTCAGTGCATGATAACTAGCCTAAGGATAAAATTGACTAACAATGTATGCTCAGTTTTAACATGTAGTGAAATGTAGAAGAAGACACTTAGTACATACATATAGCATACTTTAGAGAGAAATCCAGTTTGTTGTACATGGTAGAATATTATGACTGGCATTAATTTGTATTGTAGTATGTGTACTGAACATGCAGTAGACTGTTATTATAATTTTTATGTACATTTTACTAAAAGAGTAGCTAAATGTGTAGTATTTGTCTTATGCATTGAAGTATTCAGGCCCATAGCCTGCAATTTCAAAGGCTCTGAAAAAGTTTACCTTTTACCATGAGACCTTCTTGTATCAAGATCAAATTTTTAAAAACCCCGACCCCCCCAACAATGGGCCTGAGTATAGACATTTTTAGTTCTTACTTGCTAAATAATTGTATCTGTAGAAAAATGTAGTTTATTGTTTATAAGCTTGTCATAGAGTGAACGGTTAGTTTTCAGTGCTAAGCATTTTTTATGTGACTGTCTAGCACATGTACATAATTGTTGTTGTTGCACATACAACTTACACTGTTTTTTCAGGATGGCTTACCATCCTTGTTACTTATTCTCATTTCTACAGTTTGAAAATGTCTGCCCACCCTAAATACTGACCATATTTCAAAAATCTCTTTTTCTGATCTGGTCATCTTTAGTGCCATACACTTTTCACTCACTTTGCTAAGCTTTAGTCTAGACTACAATTCTTCATCCATCCAATGTGTCTTTCTATGTTGCAGTGGAGCATCACTGTGGCTGGAATAACAGAGGTGCCACCAGTGGCACTGCTCCCCAACTTCCTTGTCCAACGCAAGGTACTGCGGCCATTCAGGTACCAGACAGGAGGATCTATATTGGTGGGTAGAGGAATTACTGTGTAAAGGTCAAGCAAAATGTTTAAGACTGATGGTTTAATAGTTTACCACAAAACCATGTTTTATTAATTTGGTAGTATTTCAGATGTTGATTTAAAAGCTTTGGAAAGTATTTTGGTTTCTTGATGGAAATTACTTTTTTCAAGTCAAGAATGACACATTTTGAGTATGCCCCATCATTAGTATAATTTATAATGATATTGTACAATATGATTATTAGGCAGGCAAGTTGGCACTGGAAAGGGGCTGGGCTGTTAACATCGGTGGCGGCTTTCACCACTGCTCAGCCAATCATGGCGGAGGCTTCTGTGCGTATGCAGACATCACGCTGGCGATCAAGTTTGCATTTGAGTACTGCGGAATCAGCAAGGCCATGATTATAGATCTGGATGCACATCAGGTTAGAGAAGTCTGACACTAAGTTTACTTTACCATATGAAAACTTAGCCAAATGCTTTATCACTATTGTTATTGTTTTTAATATGTGCACATCAGGTAAGATAAGTCTGGCACTAAATTTACTTTTATCAAATAAAGAATTTGCCAAACACTATATATTATTATTAATTTATTTATTTATTTATTTATTTATTTATTTTATTATTATTTTTTATATTACTTTGTGTATATTATCCCTAGGGCAATGGGCATGAGAGAGACTTCATGACAGATGACAGGGTCTACATTCTGGACATTTACAACAGAGGAATTTACCCACATGATGGGTATGCTAAAAGTAAGTGACATTTGCTGGCAGCGGAATGTCTACCTACATGAAATATATCTATTATGAGCCTCCAATATTTGATTTCGATAGTTTTAAATTGCTTACTTATCACAAAACTTGTTTTGTTTCTATATTAAAATATCTCCCTTTAAATGTCTTTAAGAATTAAATGTCTGGCTTCATATTCATAATAACTTTTCCAGGAGGCATTACAAGAAAAGTAGAACTTCAACATTTTACTGAAGATAGTCAGTACTTAGAATTAGTTCGAAGGTAAGGGAACACAGGTGTTTATTTGGCATTCTGTAAGTAGTGCTTATTAAATAAAACACCTTAAAGTCTTGCCATCTTGTCTTCACATGTCTTTAAGGTCATCTTAAGGAAACTTTTTTCATTATTTTTTAATATTTGATAGTTGTTACTTAGAATAAACTTTCCTTTAATGATTTTTAAAAGTAGTCATTTGATTACTTTCAACTGTTACTTGGTTCCAGTCCATTTATATGTAGTCACTTTCTTTGTGAACAGAATCATTAAATAAATCATTATAATTCTTTGCAGACATGTAGAAGGTGCACTGAATGAGTTCACACCAGACTTGGTTGTGTACAATGCTGGCACTGATATACTAGATGGAGATCCTCTGGGAATGTTGTCCATATCTGCTCAGGTATGTAAAGATAGGTCTGGGCCCTGGGATACGTTTCACAAAAGATGTAATTAGGATTTGGTTCAACTTGCGAAAAATTGGATAGCCTGCTACATCTGCAAAAAGTCAGCTAAGGGACTTTTCACATGGAGTGTTATGCTTTAGCAATACAGCAGTACTTTTACTTTAGTTCAAAGGCCAATTACTCTATTAGTCATTTTGGAAATAGATCAACCGGTAGAGATTTTGATCAAATAAAAATTATCTGATCTACTCATAAATCCATCACGCAGGCAAGGACCCCTATCAGCATCCTCCAATTTATTGCAGGGCATCATTGAACGTGACCAGATAGTGTTCCAGAAAGTCAGAACCCGTTCTATTCCCATCATGATGGTGACCAGTGGCGGCTACCAGAGGTCCACTGCCAGGATTATAGCTGACTCTCTGCTCAACCTCAGGGCTGTGGACCTCATCAGCAGTGAGGCTGCCGAAAATGCCCCTCTGGTTGATCCAGGTGATTGTTTTTGTTTGTTTGTTTGTTTGATTTTTATTTAAAAATCAATATACAGTAATGGCTTGATGTTTGTAATGGGAAGAATTATAAAATTTTACAGAATCTGATACAGCAACTGTATTTTGTAAGAAGTACAGCAACTGTATTTTGTAAGAAGTTAATTTTAAAGATTAGAACATTCTTATTTTTATATTGAATGGTTGAAAAGCACTGCCAGGCTTCCCTGTAATACTATTCTGTACAGTAAATAAAGTCTCACAAGTGCTATACAGAAACATGATTGTATTCATTCCAAAATTATATGTATAAAGATTGATAATTTTTCCCTCATTACTGTACATGTTAATGTATTGCTGGGATGTTGTTTTTGATGCAAGCAAGCCTTTTGCTTACATTTTTAAATGTCTTTCTGTTGGATAGAAAGATGTGCCCAAACATTATTTATTGCTAAGATATGTTATAAAATTATCTATAAATTTCAGGGCCTCTTTCATCGAAGGCTCTGCTGAAAAGCCGCAGCGATGGAGAAGGATGGTTTTCGAAGCTACGTCGTAACTGTGCTACGAGCACGCGTTCATCCACGCAAGAAGACTTTGATGATCCCACAGAGCTAAATGAAGGAGCAGAGACAGGCATGCCTCGTGCCGTGAGCGAGGATCTTGGCAGAAGGAACAGGAAAGACACAGAAATAGATTGAGAATACTTTTGTGTACATGTATCAGTCATCTTCATTGGTTGTGTATCATTTGGAATATCTTTAGGGGAGGGAAGCAAGCAGATGTATTCAATGCTAGCAGGTTAAATATCAATCAGCATTACCATTTTACCTGCCATTATACTGTCTGAAAAGTGCACATCTGTTGTGTGTCATGGTATTATATAAAAGTATGAGAGCTGAGAATGAGGAAAAGGGGAAGTCTGCAGGATTATAGCCGGTTAATTTTTTCAGCCTTTTTAACCCTTTAACAATTTGGCGTACATGGAGAATTAACATTAACTTTTGCTTCAGAAAGGATTTTTTTTTTGGTCAAAAGAATGGTCTCTTCTAACCCACTGACCCCCCCTCTACCCTACCCGCAGGTCTAACCAGACATGAGTAGTCTTCTGCAATTTAGTTACTGCATACACTGGGTAACCTAGAGTAATCCCAGTCCCTTGTGACAACATCAAAGTGCATAATAAACTAGTCTTCAAAGAAATTGTCATCCTCTAGCTGTATGTTTTTCATGTCAGGTGCACCAAACGAGCATATTTAATTTATCAAAATGGATGGGTATAATTATGTGGCAACAGTGTTCCACCTGCAATAAAATGTGTGACTTCATCAAGTTGGTGGGCATATCTCAGATAAATGAACATTCGGAGATACATTTGACTGCATGATTTTATGGTAACTGGGCTTGTTAGTGATGTAAGTACTATGATCTAAAGTAAAGTTTATATCATGATTGTCATGACAGAGTGTCTTTAGCTGAAATAAAACACTAGACTTTGAAGTGTATTAATTGTAGAATGTCATTTCACTCAGGGTAGTAGAATCCACCTGGGGAATCGTTTTCATATGGTTGTAGTCTATGTATATATGTATGATGTACAGTATAGGCCCCGCATTAATTGGTCCATTATATATTAAATTCTCATTCATCTCAATTTTAGCTTGGATAATAATATTTTCTTTGATATTGGCTTAAATGTATATAAACACTGTCTATCTCCATTCTTTGCGTTAAGGAACACATTTCCCGGTTCTAGAGTGTTCGAGTTGTGTTGAGTATGGTGTATTGGGATCTTCTGTCTCCTAGCTATTGAAGTAACCGTTGTTGAAGTTACTACATGTAGTTCAGTGGATCCTTTTGTAGAATTTCTGAACATTTGTAAGTTATGTAGTCTAGTGAATTATTAAGTTCATGACAAGTAATTGAACTTAATGTGATTACGTTAACTTTGTGAATATGATTGTATATATTTCTGTCACAGTGCTATTATTTGATGTACTTAGTACAGACGGCCTAATGCAGCGTACCAGTTAAGTGCTGTGTGTACATTTATTTTATTTTATTTACTTTATGTATTTTTTGTGTAAATAACTGATCAGCACTTCCGGTTTTCATTTTTTTTTTCATTTATTGGATTTTATTCGAGTTCAGATGATTTGAATTAAATATACTGTATTGGAAAATTCAGCTTTACGTGTAAGGCCATTTGAGTTGATCTTTAGTATGTGTTCTCTTCCATGCATGTATCATTTCCATTTGTTTAGTGTTTTTCAGTTCGCCACAGCTATGTTTACCAAATCTTACCTTAGAAATTTAGTGATGTTATATTTTGAAAAATTGGAACAGTAAACGATGGTAATAAAACACAAAATATCATTAAATTGAATTGTTTCACTGTTGTTCTCGCAGGATTCACAGAATTCCGTCTGTACCAGTACCAAATCATCAAGGTATGGTAAGTTGAGGCAGCGCATGCGTGAAATGAAGGAATTTAGAAAATGCCAACCTGTTGGCGATTTATTTTATTTCTTCAGATGTACGGTAATTCAAATGGTCGGAACTGCTATCGAACATGTATGTCGCCTGTTTTGTCAACAAGACGTCGACCCTATTGAAAATTCTCCCCGCATAATGCGTACATCGACCAGGTTAGGCAACGGAAATCTCGAAATACAACAATATTTTATTTACGGTTATACAAAATTGTATTGACTTCTGGATGCCAGGGTATTCAACAGAATTCTAATGACAGCATAGACCTCTAACCCTGCTTGATTTGCATTATCTGAGGTGACTAAACTTATGAAATCCATCAATCTGTATTAGTGTACGTATAAGGTACTCTTTGAACCCCGGGTCGCTAGTAGTCTCTTCCCAATTTGGTGAATCAACCTCTTCTTCAATTTTGCATACTGCGCTAGAGGCCTCTGTGAGGTCAGAGGGTATGTACAGGGGCACACAGTCTGTATATGGGTAATGATGGTTAAGCACATTTATATATATGTGGGCGTACTGTACCATCGGCTTGCGAATATGAATACATTTCACTATTATAGAAGTTTATTGTGAGTAGTATCAAAATTGCTGTTGTTTTTCTACAGCCCCATCGTCCTCGATATGTTTGTTTCAGTTTAGTTTTGATTAATCGGGAAACTTAGTAATCCCATTCCCATGCAATACTATCAATAAAATTGACAATTACATTGGTCACCACGATCTTCAGGGGTCGTAAATTATACAAGAACGCGATTTCTTTCAAAGAAACGCATTGAAGCAGGATCTACCTGGCCAGAGTACACCAATTAAAGAAATATATATATATCTTTTTACCTGGTCAGTTCAACAACGCGAGGCGAACAAGAGAGATAATTCTCTGGCGAATTTCCTGGATTTAGTCCTACAGAGTGCCTATAGAATATCTCGTTACATGGCCACCAAGTTGCCATGACGTTATGACGTTGCGGATTTCCTGAAGTCTGATCCCATAGAACGAATACAGGAAGTCGACCAATTTAATCGCTCGATACCCCTACAGAGGCGTCCACGAGCAGGGACTATGCAAACTCGCTCCACTTGGTTTGTTGACCACGGCCGAAGGCATTCATATAGTTAAACGGTTGTTTGAAAAATAGATTTTCGGTTCAGTGATTAAAATCTGCTTATTTACGAAGCTTTTAGTCTAAAGTTATGTTTTAACAAAGGAAGCGACTTGTTTAGAATCTGAATCCATTTAGATGAAGCTAATGCCTTTGTGCACTGATTTTGATACGCTAAATGGAATATTGATGCGCGAGTACAAGCGACTCGTGAGATAATACCTTATCGACATTTGAAACTCCTAAACGGGATGCCTAGACAGAAGTGTATGCGTTATATGATTATTCGGTAGCTACAGACAACGAGTGTCAAACGTGCCTTAGGCGTGAGGGAAGCCAACGACCACTCATTGGAATCTTCTGAATAACAACAGACGCGATTTTGTGGACGACACTTTGACGACTGAGGGATTATAGTTTGGCAACCGCCCATAATAAGAAAACGTGAGTAAGTTCAAGATAAATCTTGCATTTGAGAATTATGTTGGGTGTTACAAGTACTACTTTTTTAGTGACAAAGAAAACAAAACATGAATTTAATTGTAAAGTTGCTGATATATTGATGTAAATTGAAGCTAGTATTGACGGGTGATGATACCTTTAAATACTTTTTCTACAAATGCACAATGTTAAAAATCCTATTCCTTCATTTAAAACGCTGTTTGAAATACGTTTTAAAACCAATCTTTAATTTCGTTCTGTTAGAACGGAATCGATCGTCGTTATGGTCCATTCGCAAACTCCAAATTTCGTTTTTACCTCAACGATTAACATTGTTCTTTTGCATTCTTTATAAATTCCAATGGAATCTTTCTCCATTCCATATTTCATTTCTTATATTTTTCGATCTGCGAAAGAAATTTTCGAAATGCACGCGCTAACCCACATTCAATAGGATTTTTAATGAGACAAGATAGCTTTCATTTTGTCCTTAAACTAGTTACCAATGGAATTTAGGTATAAACATTCCAAATATCACTTCACAGCATTTTCATGTTAATTTTCTTTGTTGCTACATAATTGAAACAGTTCATTAAGTTTTGAACGTGAAGTATATTAATCCAAAGGACCGCTTTCAAGAATTACCGAATGTGCCACATGCGCACGTAAAACACAACAAATACAATCAACACAATACAAACAATACCTTGTTTGAAAAGAAGATTTTGAGAGATTTGAGGTTTAAATTCTTTCGACAAATATACGGGCAAGGGGAACATTCTCCTGTTAGACTTTTAATTTTTTTTCAGTTTTTGTTGTGTACAAACTTCTCATCGATACCGTGTTTAACAAAGTTTTTTTTTTTTTTTGACGTTTAAAGGAAACAGCACGAATAATAGTTTCTTTTAGATGAGTATACATTAATGCTGGACAAGTATGTATGTGTAGTCTGAACGTTTTTTTTTTTTTTTTTTTTTTTTTGATGCGTTTGTTTTTGTTTTTGATTTTGGACATTTTTTCACCTTTATGTCTTGCTTTGTTTTAAGCAAACATTTTGCAAAAATATTAGCTTGAATTGATTGATGCGTATGTTCAGAACAAGAGGAACATTTTTAAATAAGATATGGGTTTTTTTTACATTCTTTGCTATTTACTAACCGGATATCGATAGTTTGAATGAAAAGGAAATGTTGCGCAAATATTAACCTTACTTGAAAGGATATATATGCTCGACAAAAGGTTTTGATTATTTGCAGTCCGACTGTGGGGTTTTTTGAAATACTTCGTTATTTACAAACCTTAATTAAATACCACATTGCTTTAGACGATAACCAAGCCGTGCCCCAATATGACACTTTAAACTTTGTTTAAATCTTCCCTTTTGTTAGAAGCAAATAATACATTTTCACCTACTAGAAATTTACAATTCAATAAATGCCTGAAGTAAGCTATTGAGCTTGGCCCCTGTTAGCTTGTGACGTCAAATGTCTATTTTTGATTTATGGCTGTCCGGCGAGAGCAGACCCATTTTTTTTTTACATAGCAATAGCCCAGAATGCCGTTGCCATAAAGTTTATTTGACTCCAGGTAAATTAGACTCTACTGTGAACCTTTTCTTGTGAACCGCAAGGTCAGATATGAAAACTGTGCGGGTTACATGAAAGTAGGAGTTTCGGTTATTTATTTATTATTTTTTTTTACACATTTATTTTGAATAAAAACAAAGATGTGCACACCATATCATTTTTAACGATTCAGAACTATAAGAAGTACAAACACGCAAGGAACAAACTCAAGAATGTTTCCCCTGTGTATTCTTTTAACTTAATTTTTCATAAGCCAGATTAACCAATCGCTGATGGGAGAAATTATTGTTTTCTGCATTGCAGGCAGCGAGCTGTATTTTGTTACATTGCTCGTAACGAGTAGTCATCAATTATTTATTTATTTATTTATTTATTTATTTATTTATTTATTTATTTATTTATTTATTTAGGACTTAATAGGGTGAATATAAAGTTCACCTTCCGCATGGCCCCCATCTTATCTTTTCGTCTCAGGCAAATAATGGGAAACAGTAATAACGTGTACACGACTTTGATGGCCTTTGGATTAAATCAAATCCAGCTCGTATGAATTTAAACAAAGTGGCGAAATATGGCTATATGAATTATCCACCATGGCACATTATTCATTATATTTTTTTACTGGCGTAATGTTACAATCAAATAACAATGAATATCTGTATTAGTATTTGATATTTCCGTGTTTCTAATCAATAACATATGGTTGGGATTTGACTGTTCCCATAAGAACAAAACCAAAATAGGTATGCCGTGATTGTACAGACCCTGGAGAACGAACAAGTTAATAATGATATTTTGGGGAGTTAAACACACATATTAAATTTTTCAGCTATTTACATAAGGATGTACTCAGATAACATCGAGTAAACGTGGATTCAACTGTGACGTTCAATATAACAAGACAAGGGATTCAAAGGGTGTTTTAATGCGCAGTGAGACCTATTGGTTGACATTATTGCACCATTTGGAGGACAAAGGCGAGCCTAATACGAGAACACCCGATCCTGTTAGATTGTGACGTCAAATTTCTATTTTTGATTTATATGGCTGTCCGGCGAGAGCAGAACCATTTTTTTTACATAACAATGGGTGCAATCAAACAGAGCACTGCCTCCAGTTATTATGCAAACAATTTTCGCCAACGTCTTGCTTTGTATCTATGACTAGCACATCCCTGCATTAATTGCACCAAAACAAGGAATTACATATGATAAAATATACAATATACTGGTATATATAATCCCTTGGTCAAAATCACATCCTGTAATATGCCTTATCTTCTAGTTTCAGAACAAAATGAAAAGCACTGGCTCAGAATGGTTTCCAGTCTTGGTTGTTTGTATGGCAGCATTTCTTTCACAGGATGTTCACGGTATGTACCAAAGACTTTTAGTCACGAAATAATTCTTGCATCATCCAAATTAAACCTATGTCCAGACTACCCTGTGATGAAACATTTTGCGGCAAGCTCTACCGCAATCGATTTGCTGTTGAGCAGATTTATGTTATGTACAATTCCTGATTGTGGAACTCTGACTACTATACAGTAACTACCCTGTATGGCATGTATTTATTTAATTCACTTGAAAGTAACAGTTTTATGTTTTGATTACATAAATTAAGTCTGATTCATTTATTGGTCTACATAAACAAAATATCGTGCCTGTTTTATAAATAGAAAGGTACGACTAAAATTCAAAACTGGCAGTTATTTTTCTTTTGTAATATGGATTAATTTGGGCCAAAGTAGACTAAAATTTGTGTCTTGAAGTTGAGCGCAATTTTCAGAATAAAGGTCCTAAGTGAAACCTGTGTTACAGGAATGGTAGTCCGCTAGGAAAAATAGTCCGTGCCCCATTACTTAGTACAGGTGACATTTGTCCCACATACTAAACCTTATATTTCGACTAACCTTTACCAGAACTTATCATATGGGACCCCAGATTTCCATTCCTAAGACTAACATTCCTCTCACACAGGCCCTGGATTACGAGGCAGGCGACACTAATCAAACTTCCTGTTATGAGTCTAAATACAGACTTTGTTGAAACGTTACTGAATGCAGCTTGAGCTCTATGGAATGGCAAACCCACAAAAAGTATTTGTCTCCTTTATTTATTTTAGCAAGTTGAAGTCGATTTTCGATCGAAATTTCTTAGTAAAATACATCGGTCAGTGCAATGGCTAGACCTGGGCCCAGTTTTATAAAGGGCGTTTAGCACTAACCAGTGTTTAACTCTAACCAGACCTTAATAGTCTGTTAGTAAACTGACCTTTAAATAATTATTTAATCCAGTCAAACACTGGCCAGTTAACTAATTGGCTGTTTTCCGTTAGAAGACTGTATATAAAACACAATTTAACCATCTTTTAGTTAATGGGTGTTAGGGGAATTTATCCACTGGTTAGGCCAAACGTCCTTTATAAAACTGGGCCCAGCTGGTTAGCTGAAAGAATATTTAGGTTCAGATGTTTTATTATCATAAAACAACGGAATTATAGAAATGGAATGGTTTCCAGTAACATGTATAGAATGGCATAAGTCAAAAATGTCCCAGATGTGGCCCTAAAATGGATAGTTTAGAGTGTAAATCATTAATTGTGCTTTGTGACGGAAGTTCAGGCAACATCAATTACCTTTTATTATTTTTTTCAATGGAAAAACTACTCAAAATGTTTTTGATAATGCGTGTCATCACCGCAATTTCACAGAGGACAAGAGACTTACTTGACTTTCAGTCAATATATGTATCATAAATATTATTGTTACCTGAAGCCTCGTCAGATGCAACGTTCAAAGTATCTACATCTAATAATTAAAAGAGAAACATGTCATATTTTTCTGTTGACTTGTAATTTTGAAGCTCATTTCATATTTCATCCGAAAAGATAAGTAGACTACGAAAAGAACTTCATCAGCTGTGTAATTTACTGTACAAACTTTATTGAAAAAGAGAAGTAAGTTTGTACAGCAATATCTGCCCCTTTTGTGTATGTAGACACCATTGTAATAGTATATGCCTTTCTTCCGGCTATGACCATTTTAAAGTTGATGGTCATTGATTTGTGTGAACTTGCTGAAATTTGTAGGCCAAGGAAACCCACCAAGTTAAAATATCATCCTGCTCACATTGCTACATGTTTTCCAAAGTAAACTTGATTTTTAAAATTTTTTATTTTATTAATTTTTATGCTGTGTATTGTTTTCTGCATTACTAGCCAGGTTGGTCTGGAAACGCCTGTGCAACAAAATTTGAGCCTGAAATTGGTCTAATCCTAATAAGCCAAAGAAATTGGTCTACTTCAGTACAAGATTTATTCACAGAAGTCTGATGATGTGTGGCATTTGCCGTGTCTCTTTTATATAATTTTAAACAAGAAATGTTTTCTTTAACAGGACTGATAACGTTTGTCGAAGTATAGTCATCTGCGCCAAGAAAATTAATAAATAAATTAATAAATTAATAAATTTTTTTTCATTTGATATATTTTACCCTCTTTTAGGCATCCAAACACAGCTGAGTGGGTCGTGGTTTGGAAGGGTGGAAGTCTTGCGAGAGGATACCAACCAGTGGGGGACAATATGCAGAAATGACTTCACAGATTCTGAAGCAGCAGCCGTCTGCAAGTCGCTGAATTACGCTACAGGGAAATCCGTGAACACGTGGCTTCACCAAGCATCTCGACCAATCCACTTTGACCAGGTGTCATGTGGGAATGGGTCACATGACAACATCGGGACATGCTTGTATGGAGGTGTTCCATTGGACAATTTAAATATCACCGAATGGGGAGATTTTTCGTCATTGAATTGTGAGGATGCAGTTGTTTTTTGCTGGAATGTCTCAGGTAGTTTTTGTTTTAACGACCCTTACTTCTTGTTTTTTTTTCTAAAGAACTTACAGTCAGCTTAATTTGTGAAAAAGTTTAAAGTAAATCATTGAAATGTGGAATTGTGCAATGAGCTTCATAACATAAGGAAAAAAGTTGTCCTGAAATATGCAAAAAAGCAAAGATGGTGTTTCTCTACGTGAAAATTGGCGCAGAGTGTAATTTAAATGCTGTCAAAAGCATCCCATCTTTTGAAGAACCTAACATCAAGCAATAGTTTTTAAACCACCGTACGTGTATTCGGATATATTACCATGCAGTCAGTTGGTATCACTGTTGTATGAGTAGTTTTTACCAGTAGGTAATTATGAATTATTCAAATGTGTTCCCAGAACCGGAATTTCGTCTAGTTCCTGGGCCAAATTATGGCCGCGTGGAGATGGCCATTGATGGAAATTGGGGCACGATTTGTTCCAGACATTGGCACTGGCAGGACGCAAGAGTTCTGTGCAAGGAACTGGGATTTATAGGTAATGAAGGACAAAAACAATGGCATATATTGTAAATGGGTTTTGACCCTGGATTTTGTTCCAATTGAATAACTGTTGTCTTAAGAACAGTTAATTTAACTCTGTAAATCAAACTTTTTTCTTTCCATTTCTCGACCTTGTGATATTTACCTCGCAGGCAATAAATATTCTCTAAAAATCTGTTGTCCGCGGTAGAAATGCATCCTGGTATGACAATGAAAGTTTTGGAGTTCCATTTAATTGATGATAATGTAAAGAACAGACACTTCCTGTTGACTAAAGTGACAGGTGATGCCCATGTTTACACCCAGGTTGCGGATACTTGTTTTAGAGACATGCCAGCACTTTTACTAGTCACAATGAGCATCTTTGTATTGTCGTGTTTTCACGTACCTTTTATATTATTAGATGGGATGCCAATTTCGAGTAGTTCAATCTATGGTCAAGGTTCAGGAAACTCCTATTTCGGCTACCCACAATGCTCGGGCTCAGAAGACTCGATTTTGAATTGCCGTTATTATGGTCCGACTGAGAATTTGTGTGGTCACCACGAAGACGTCGCCGTGTTTTGTTCGGAGAGTGTAAACAACAGTAGGTAGCCTGCAAACTTCGCTATTTTCTTTCAAAAACCTTTTGTATTTACTGGAAGAATACAAAAGAAGAAGTTTCACTATTCACCAAGAAATACATACTGGCAAATCTACAGATAATATGGAACTATTTGGAACTTTGATGCATTTCAGCTTTTACGTTTTCCTTTTCGTCACAAGCTGTCAAATATTCTGGTTATTTATTGCATACTGCAGGTATAGTTTACAGAGAAAATTGGGGGAGAGTGGAATTTTGGAAGGAAGGAAGTTGGAACAACCGACGACCAGTTTGCGATGGGAACTTTACTGACATCGAGGCCACAGTGGTATGTCGAGAGCGAGGCTTCAACGCGGGACATGCCGTTTGTTGTGGGTCAAGCGATCCCTGGGGTCACTCTGACTCAAAAACAGATTGGTTGTGCACGGGGAACGAAGCTCGACTCTTGGATTGCCCTCACACCGACGCTTCATGCTCATCTGGCCACTCTGCAAGTGTTGTGTGCTACAACAGTTCTATACCACAAGGTACTAAGGACTGCCGCTGCTGTAAATTCATCTGTCATATTTTGATCATATAATTGCAGAGCAGGGGAATCTTCTAAGTGCTGCATATGCATGTACCTGGATTAACAAACCGAACTGAAAAACAGTTAAAAGAATCTTATCATTAAAATATTATTGGGATATTCCAATTGGAAACGCAAAAACTATATGCTCAAAGTATAAATGAATAGTCTTTTACCAGCCATTATCAGCAAAAAAAAAGGGGTCATTGCTTAAATTTTTAACGTCCAGATCTATGAAGTAGGAATTGTGGCTAACAATCAGTGATTATTGTGTAATATAAGTCTACACTAATTTACAATTCTTCAGATGAAGTGTATACGCTGAACCATGGCAGTTACGGTTACGTGCGCATGACCTACAAAGGCGTTGAAGGACTTGTCTGCGATACCAACTGGACGCGGGAGGACGCCTTGGTCGCGTGTCGCAGTTTAGGTTACGACGGCGCCCTAAACTTTCCCGCTGGTTTCTACGGCCGTGATTCCAGCCACAAGATCTTTTGGCTGAAGGACCCCGTGTGCGCTGGCAGTGAGGATACCTTGTTGGAGTGTCCCTCCGCTGGAGTGGGCGGTGGGTTCTATCCGGAATGCCATTGGAATGACGGCTCGGTCGGTGTCTTCTGTTACCAGTCCAATAACGTGGGACAGTTCGGTAGGTTGGGCAGTATGAACACGCGTTTAGATCCTGTAACATGCTCACGTTCACGAAAAAAAAACATTCATCCATTCTGCGATGATAGGTTAAGAAATTGTCACCTTTTTCCGCAACTCCTGTCTTGGTGTCTCTAGTCATTTACCAGTAAATCACCTAAAGCTGTTTAGTTCTTTCAGATGTAAGGCTCAGCGACTTTGCCCACACTGCATCATACGGGAGACTGGAAGTCATGCAGTTCGGGGACTGGGGGGCCGTCAGTGTCCCAAGGCCATCTCCACAGCTGGTGAAAGTAGCGTGTCGGGAGCTCGGCTATGACGTCGGGATTGGCATCCACGGTAATCCGTACAGCAGAAGCACCCGGCCCGTCTGGTACCATAACGTTACCTGCACTGGCGACGAGCTGTCCCTCCAAAACTGTACCAGAGAACCGCCGGGAAAAGAAAATGAATGGTCCAACGATGACGACATCTTTCTTTACTGCTGGAACAGCGACTCGGTGCCAGGTAAGACAGCTTGGGATATTGATGATGACTTCTTCGAATAAGACACTTTGGTCATCACAGGAGTTAAGGCCGAAACGTAGTATAACTTGTTTCAAGTAAGATCCAGTTTCAGATTCAATTTTTCATTATTTTATATATAAAAAAAAAAAAAAATTGGGTGAATCATAACATTCAATTTGAGTGAAAGTGTAGTTTTTAATCATTGTCTAATCAATATTTCTGAATAGCTGCTCTTCTTAAGCTACAGATATGATTTTAGTACATCCAAGTATCAAAGCACTATTTAATCACTATCTGAAGTTAACTTGAACGTGAATGGAAAGCGCGCACACAACTTGTGTGAACGAAGAAGGCGTTCCTCTATTTAAATGCTTAATTTTTCTATTTCAATAAAACCTGTTGATACGGTTACGATTTCGATTGCGATTTCCAGTGCCGAGTTTTCGACTTCACAGCTCCTACTACGGCCGTGTCGAGGTCACCTATGGGCGGTATGCAGGGGTCATATGCAAGCAAGGCTGGGACGACGTCGACGCCGACGTTTTGTGCCGAAACTTTGGCTATAAGCGAGGAATGAGCGATCCCGAATTAACATATTCAGCAAACTACCCAGTGTACTACGTCAATGTTTCCTGCAACGGATCTGAATCCAGCGTTAATGACTGTGATAAGGTATTTGGAAATATTCGCCCCGAACCTGGATACTGCGATGTAACTTCTTCAACTCCTGCTGCGGCATTTTGCTTCCAGAAATCAGGTAGGTTTTGGAAGTAATACTCAACGTGTGGGTTAGTTTAGACAGGAAATACATGTAGTCACCTGGCGTAACCTTTTATCGGTCTAATATAGTCCTAGTGTAAGCACATCTGAAAATATATAACTCTATATTTTTATTCGCTTTCTTCTTACAGTTTATTATTTAGACCTAACTAAATAATTCATTATTTGACCCATCATTTTCTTGAACTTATTAAAGAAATAAGATGTAACAAAAAGTAGCGATTTATCATTTCCCAGTGAATAATATCCAAGTTAACTGCTATCACTTCAAAACATAATTCGTTTTTCATAACTTAACAAATCGTTTGAGGCGTCATTACAGCATGTTTGAAAGAATAATTACAAGGTTTGATAAACCAAAACATCTTATGAACTGTGTCTTTATTAAAGGGGAATTTTGATGACTTATGGGAATTACTTTCCTGAGACCTGAGATCAATACTTTGGATGGACGACAGCAAAAATCTGATAATTATAATTATTAATTTTATCATTAAGGAAGCAGATGGGATAGAAGACGTATTGAAACAGACAATTTTAACGCAAATTAGTTTTTTTTAAACAAATACAAGTTATAGAAAACTAAAGTCTACTGTTTTAATCTTTTAGATTATGGCGGGATAGAGTTTCGACTGGCTCACGGCCATTTATATGAAGGCCGAGTTGAAATGTCCATAGACGAGATATGGGGAACTGTATGTAAAGTCCAAATGACCGCGGAGCATGCTGGTATTATTTGCAGGTAAACTGGATTAATTTCAACTTTTCTTAATTGTGACGATTAGCAGGTGCGTGTACCGGTGTGACAGAAATGGTAGTCATAGGAATGAAAGTCCGGGATCCCATATGATTGGTACAGGTTGGGGTAAGTTGGCGTATTGGGGATAGATTATGGGACGAGTGTCACCTGTACAAAGTAATGGGGAATGGACTACGGTTCCTAGCGGACTTCTATTCTTGCCATACCACTGATAGCTGCTCTAAGTAATCAAACTTGAGTGAGTGCACGCGCACGCGAAGAAAACGGTACGTAAATTACTTTGGACTTTTTGGTTGCATTAAATCATACGATCCACATTGCCAAAATGAAAAAATTGGTAATTGTAAAAGTACCTCGCAATAAAGCTACTTGCTTTGGCATATAAACATACACGGGCTGGTGTAGTCCTACCTAAAAAGTGCATTACTATATATACTTGTTCCGTCGTACAAAAGTACACTTGTTATCACCACAGGCAGCTTGGGTTTGATGACGGAAAACTTGCTACCGTCTCGTCAGGCACGGGGAACGTGTGGCTGCGGTTACGAGATTCCTGCTCCCTGGCTCACATCCAAGCCTGCCCGAGATACGGCTTTGGAATGACGCATTGTGGACACGGTCACGACATTGGGATATACTGCTATGACATAACGAATGCATGTAAGGCTGCTTTTCACTAATTTCTTACCTGAAAATGGTGGCTGTATATTTTGCATCTTTGGTCGATAAAAGCATGCTACGTAATTAAGACAAAAGTGTGTTCGACTCCTCTATATATATGTAAGAGAAGGAGAAACAAAGCTGACTTTTTTTAAAAAATTAGCAGTTTTTCTTTTATCACCAAAATACTCCAAAGCCAAAACTGTTGAGAAATATACAATCTATATACACGTTTTTTGAGCCTTTATTTTCTATTTTTATCGGCATTTTGTCAACAGTTTAAGATGTGGTATACTTTGATGACTTTTTAGAGAAATATTTTAAAATTTCCAGGAAAATCAAATTTTCTGTGTGAAAGTATAACGCTGACTTTGAGACACGACAATTAAACGGATTAGATGTGGCGTTTGGGCATGTAGAAACAGCGTTATTTCGTTGGAATCTGGCAAGGCTATTACAAGAATAACAGCTTTTTAAAATTTTTATTATCACCCATTATTCCCGTTTTAGCCTGTGAGGCTCCAGCGGCTCTGACTGGCCACTTTGGTCACTTGCGTTCCTTTGGTCACCCGACCACCCAGTATGGACCCAACCTGAACTGTACCTGGTGGATCACCGTCCCTGAGGGCTTTGCCGTCAGACTGACATTTACTGATTTCAGTGTAAGGGTTAATTAATTACGTTGATTAATTATATACGGTATCGATTAAAATTTATGGCTAAATGAGCAAATTTTTGTCGAGGAATTGGTGTTGGAAATGATCAATCGGTTAAATCATCCATTAATTTATTTACTAATTGCTCAAAATATGTAATGAGGTAAAGTTTCAGAAGAATATTATCTTCCAGCTTGAAGATTCTGTGGATTGTGAAAACGACTACGTGGAAGTTAGAGACATAGGGATGGGCTCATTTGAGAACTGGACCTCTGCTGCTGTCATAGGACGGTATTGCGGTGCCACAAACCCTGGCACTCTAACTTCTACAACTAACCGTCTTGTTGTCCACTTCCGGAGTAACGAAGCGACTTCTAGCGGTGGAATGGCTGCGTATTTCAGCAGTGGTAAGACATCTGTCTCTCTTGTAAGCCGTTAGCGAAACATTCCTATTCTTATTCAGTGAAACATAATACAGATAATTAAACCCAACCCAATAGTCTTTTATCTAAACTATCTGTTATGAACGGAAATAATGTCTCTTGGTGAACGCAAGCAGATACCAATATAAGATATAAAATGATGTACTAGTGTAAATTTTACAAGTCTGTTATGTCCAGATATGTGACAGTTCTCGTGAAAGTTTACTCAGCAAACAAAAGAATATAAAGACAGAAATGATGTGCATCAATGCATGCCCATTATTGCCCATGCATACAGGCGCAAATCGATACCGCTTGACAGTAGAATTTACGTTTTTGTACTGTCTCTTAGTTCCTCCTTAAAAAAATGAAATAATTGTTTTGACGAAAATTCGAAAATAGTGATCCAGTATTTCCTTTTTCACGTGGTGACCCTTTGTATTCGCGTTAGTAACTACAAAAATCTACAAAAATCTTAGGTGATTGACTGGCATGGGCACCTTCGGGAGGATAGCCTTCACACTTAACGATTCACTGCTGCATTATAATGCATCTCTTTTTCCTCATGAATATTTAATCATTATGTTTTTCCTCATGAATATTTCATCATTCATGTGTGTCAAGGTAAAACGATTTTTTGGAGTTAGACATCTTTTGTTATAACAGAGAGGTGAATTAAAACGAGGCCATAACCCATGTTTTACTAATTATTTTATTTGTTTGTTTGTTTGTTTTCCAGACTGCAGCGGTGCGACCGTCTGGAATAAAGTTAACAACACATCCGATCTCAGTGGCACAGACTTCATGATCCGGTCCATCAATAACGCCAGTAATTGTCTCTTGGAGTGTGATCACCATCAGTTCTGTTTCAAGGTGTACTACGATGCCACAAATGAAACATGTTATATGAAAATGGCCACGTTTTATGGCCGAAATATCAGCCTCAGTGGATTGGAGCTGGAGACGTATGAGAAAAAATGCATAAGTAGGTATAACTCTAATGCCTGTGAGTCAGTACGCATTACACAGTATCATACCCTGAACAAATTTTGAATGGTGATGCAATGCTTTTCAACCCCGCTGAGAATCGTCCCTTTCACATCGCGTACTAGGCAAGAGCGGTGTCGCGTCTGATACTGTGAAATGCGTACTGATACACACCTTGAAAACGGGTAGTGTGGTCCGATTTACCGGTGAATTCAGGATCATTCGGTGCCGAGTCTGGGAGTTGGGTAGGCCTGAATATTACAGTGTCTGACAAGTTGTCTTTATTAGGGAATGAGGCTCCAGTATCTAAAATGCTACACTTCTGAGTTCTAACCAATGTATCTTTGAGTACACAACACATTTGTTTACTTGATTTGCTGAATTAGGATGTTTTTGTTAAGTTATTTGCGTAATACGTTATTAAATTACTTCGTAGATGGTCACCAATGGACAACGCAAGACAACAGAGCTATACGCAGCGAAGAGCTTGCGGTGGAATACACCAGCAATGTGGACAATTGCCTAGCCTCCTGCCGAATGAGGCCAACTTGTCTGGCAATCGATTACAGCGCCAGCAGCAAGAAGTGTACACTTCACAGCGTCAATTCTGCTGATACCTCGTTGACGTTAGAGTCATCCACTGTGTACCATGAGAGTAGGTGCATTGTTTTCTGTGTGTATTAATGTTTATGTCACTCCATTGACCGTTTTTCTTGTTTTGTTTCACTTTGCTACTTCACGCCCTCGGACGCTTTTAAATTCGTGACCGACATCCATTTTGGTAATGTCTTTGTATGCGTGTTATGTTGCCTTCGGTTTTCGTTTTTGTTTCTGCCCATCAACTATCATGAGCAATAATGCATGTGGCAGTTTTCTAGATTACGCCATATAGATACATCTCATTCACGCGGAAAAAGTGTCTGGATAAAGTACACAAAATCAATGCACTTCTTGTGTCAAATATTGATATTCTTGTAAATAAGTATTTATTTAATGTTTCATGCGTTATGATTTATACACTAGGCTTATGCCATGAATTACGTGAAGTGGTCTCTTAATTTTCAGAAGTGGCAGAATTTCAATTGTAGTTAATAGCAGTTTTGTAATCTATCTATACAATGCGTTTACGCAAGGCGTTTTGAAGTAGCGAGAATATATACTATGCCATTTAGCAATTAGTATTGTAATTACGATCAAATCTCTTTTGATGGAGTATTTCTGACCAGTATGGCGCCTGATACATCATAAATCTGTGGGCAGGTAAACATTTTCATATTTTCGATTGTACAATGATTAGGCTATTATAACATCTAGTGAGCTTGGTATTGATTTAATAAGGTCGGTTTTGGCAGTGAACCATAAATTCGTGTGCACACTGTGTTTGATGTCATTTTTGTCATTGATGCCAACAAAGCAATGTGCGCAATTCAGAGTTTCGATTTTAACACGGACTTGATGTTTTATCTTCGTGGGCTTTCAATATTTCCGGAAGTTTTCATCAGACTCACTTGGCAGTCAGGAAAGACTGAAGGCTTTCTAAAGCAGTTTATGATCGAGGGCAAAAATCGAAAAAGGCAAATTGCGGAACTGTCTGTTTTCTCTGAGGTACACAGAAACACGGCCAAATCTACGGCACTAAATGCTGTGTACACGTCCACGGGCTAGTGGTGTTTGAAATCGATATAAAGTGACAAAAGCTGTGCTTGTTTAGATCTAAAAAGCCTGGTTGAAAATGCTGTTGAATACTATTCCTAAACATGCTATATAACCCTTAACTACTGTAAATAATCTTGTCATCCCCACCAGGCCTGGATTAATAATTGTGGACATTTTTCGTCTTTACATTTCATAAACATCGTATTTTGGTTACTAATTACTAATCTGAACGTTGTACAATTTCATCGTTATTACTGCATCTTATTATCTATGCATTATAATATACCTTGTGCATAACACGTTTTCACTACTAAATTATACATTAAATCATTTCATTGCATATTTTGTTTAATGAATACATCACAGCACTTTCATCAACTTTTTCGATACGAATTTACGCTCGACTTTTAAAACGCCACAGGTGTATTTTTTTCATTGAAAAATAAATCCGATTAACTACGGCGTTCTCGGCGATTCCTTACAGCCACTGTTCCCAAGACGTGTGCAGAAGTGTTGGCCAATAACGGCACCAGTGGCTGGTATGGTTTGAAAGTAGCCACCGGTCAGCTAGTCTTTACTTACTGTGATGCCCTGAGGTTTGGCGGAGGATGGACCTTACTGATGGCGAAACGCGCAAGGTATTCAAAATTGTACAGTTTGTATCTATGAAATAGTGAATTTGTTATGTCAAAATACGACTTGTTTTGGGATTAGTTGACGCTCTGTAACTGTCAATACATTTTAACAATACATTAGAAAAAATTATTTCCAACCTTAAAATTCCCCGTTTCATCAAACTGTAAATAAATTGACAAAACAAGAGATAGACAAGTACTTTGTTGAACATCACAGCATTCCATTCTAACCACGTTGGTTTTAAATTCATATTCATAAATTTGAAATGGTTTTTAAATTCAAAAACCTATTGATTTTACTGAAAAAATTGAAAAGTAATTGTCCTTGCTGAATATTATATTTGCACTGAAGTTTGGAATTTTTATATCACGTCATTAAACTACCTAAGTTTACCGGCCTGACGGGTGAGACAAAAGCCTCTTCAGTGTGAGTGAGCTCCTAGTATCAAGCAAAATTTAAGTCGCCTTCAAAGCCCGTTGGAACATGATGCAAAACAGGCATACCTAATTTGTATGGCACTTTTAAGAATGGCTATAAGATGGTAACTGTAAAAATGTTTTCAATGCACTTACAGGTCTTGCACTTCACCTGTGTCTGAGCTACCTGTGTCTCAGTACTCATTACTAGAGTCGGAATTTTCGATATTGCAAGAACTTCTGCGCTTTAAAGATAGGACGTTGGTTGATTATTATGAGGTGAGTGTATGTAGAGCATCTGCAAAATGGCATAATTTTGCACATTTGCTTATAATTACGGCAATTACAGTTATGATGAACTATTCTCCAAAACTTTTCTTACAATGATATGTATTAAGCCATAATTTATGTTTAACGTTACGAAGACATTTTTCCATGAAATCACATCAAAATTAAGAAAAATTAAGAAAATGTACTCGTAGTACATTTGTATAAAAACCGTCAACATCGAATACTCTTATTTAAAGTTACTGTTGGAAGATAGTGGGAGGCAGTGGAACAGCACGTGGATGGTGCCCAACACAATGTCAGATTACAATGACGTCACAGTGACATCATTTGAAGGTGTGACGTCAATGCTTGGCATGGCACGAGGGCATATACAGGTAATCAATGTGACTAACGTTACCTGGCGAAAGACTGTATTCATCAAGCGGGATTCTTATTCGCATTACGAGTCAAATTCAAAAACAAAATTAGATGGATCTAAAAGTTAAAGACTTAGCCATTAGATATTTTGCACCCAGCTAAACCGTTTCGTCGGTGAATAAGAGACTTTCACATAAAAGAGAGTGTCCCAATTTTTACCCAGTCATGGGTCAATCTCACATACAAATTGCAGTGGTTCACTTGTCCCCGTTCTGCCTTCCCCCACCAATTGCTTCTGAGGTGCCACTTTCTCCACAAATGGAGACAAAAACCGAGATTTTCATCCTTGTGCCTACATATGTCAAAGTAAAAATTAACCTTATTCTAGTTTCATATTTGTTTATTCTTGTGCCCCCTTCTCACTGTTCTTCCAGAGCCTTGCCCACATCAGCGCCATATCGAACATCAGTGGCCTGCCATATATTGGCGAGAACTGCAGCAGCCCGGTGACGGATGCCTCCAACACCATCTTTCTGTGGATGAGGACCCCCACCACCGCTAATAAGGATAAAAAATGCATGATCAACGTTTGTGCAAATGGTGGCCATTGCCGGTATGAAAACGGAAACACCACCTGCACCTGTGCCAAAGGATTTTACGGGGAGAAATGTGAACATAGTGAGTGTTATCAAATACGTTCACATATAAGGTGTGCCTCTGCTGCAAGCACACTGGAAACATTTTTTGCAGTGACAAGAATGGTAGTTCTAGGAATGGAAGTCAGGGCTCCTGTATGATTATATATGATTATTACTATAGTACAGGAAAGGGTTAATATATGGGACGGAAAGTATAGGCTATTAGTACAGGAAAGGGTTGATATATGGGATGGAAAGTATATTAGTACAGAAAAGGGAGTATTGGGGTTAGTATGTGGGACGGATGTCACCTGTACAAAGTATAGTGGGAACGGACTTCGGTTCTTAGCAGACTTCCATTCCAGTTACAAAATTCGTCCAATAGTCAGCATAGGCCTATTTTGACTTCCTTTGACGTCAGGATATCGACATTCAAATAACAAAACAGCATGTATGTGTTTTGTTTTGCATCATTTTACTGAAACAGAGAGTAAACACCTTTTCCGATCAAACTCAAGTATATTGTGGACATTTTTTACAGCAGTCAATATTTTTTTCATTAGTCATTCTTCTTTTTGAAATCTTTTGACGTCTGATTATCGAAGTTACTGTCAAAAGCGTAAAGCAACGGAACAAATTGAATGTTCTTATAAAATTTATTTTTCATTTAAAGTCCCAACGTTCTAAGAAATTAGATGTTTTTTGATCGATTTCAAGTACATGTACTTGATGTTGTTTTATTGATTATCTTAAAGGTGGCATTTTTAAATAAATATATATTTCAGGTCTTCCAAGCGTCACTGCGCAGTTTAAAAAATTGCCGGATACCGCCGTTCGATTTGCAGACATCACCAAGACGAAAGTTTCGACACGTGTACTCGATTGCATGAGTTTCTGTGTTTTGCACGGATGTTCTGGTTTCTACTGGCAACCAAAAACTGAAGTGAAGCCCATGAATTGTGAACTGCTTTCAGAACAATTATTTGGAAGTTTGCTGTACTCTGAGGTTCATAGGGATGTATATGTACGACTCCAGGAAGGTGATATTGACTGGGAACAGTGAAACACTGGGTGTGTTCACATCCATCTATCGTTACTTGGCTCCCTTTAAAGTACATACTAACCACAGACTTGTAGATCATCTTTAGTCAGCAATTACATGTATTTTTTCTAAAAAATGTGAACCTTTGTACCTCCTTAATTGACCCAACCTGGTAAATGCCACTTAAAGTAGATCAAAATTGGAAACAGGGCGGATCTTTTCCGACCACAGGGAAAGTTGTTTTGAATCATTTGAACCCAGTGTAACGTGACAGAGAGTTCCCCCATGATAGAGAGTCCGCTTCCCATTCATTTGCACAGGTAAGCCTCGCCCTAGATTTTGACCCACTTAGGTCAGGCTGACCCTAACCATTATAACTAAATGGAGGCGGAGTTTCTGTTACACGGACCTTCAGTTTCGTTACACCTAGCCTCCAAACCCCCCTGTCTACCGTCCTGAGGCAGCTGTGGCAAGAATTTTTTTTTAAATCCCCATAGGTTCATCAATAAAGAAAACATTGTTGGATAATGAATAATTGAATTACGAATTATTGTAAAAATAGGAACTGACAGTGGGTAAAAAGCTACTTTAAAGGGGGTCAAAAAGGAGTGATATCGAATATGGCGCGAGGAAAAAGACATATCTAGCCGTGCGTATCGGGTATACATGTGTCTAACTGTATACAGTTTGTAGAGTTGTCATTATTTTCTAAACACACAGTGATGTAAACCCTATTTATTGTTCCATTTTCAACATTAAGTAAAAATTTGAGTACTTGGGGTTTTTTTTTTCAGAATTCTTTACCCCGTTTTATCAGGCCCGTAGCCAGGGGGGGTTCGGGGGTTCGAAAGAACCGCCCCTTTTGCTGGGAAAGGTCCACTCTGGGTAAAATTTGATCTAGGTACATGAAGTTTTTATGGGAAAAGGTCCACTTTTTCAGAAAAAGAACCCCCCTTTTGAAATTGCTGGCTACGGGCCTGTTTATACAGGGAGACTTAAAAAAACATTACCTACCGATGTTTTGCCCATAACCAAATGAAGATTAACTTGGGTCAAAAGTGATTATGGAGGACCACTGACAAGGGATGAAATAAAGAAATGATGAAAACACATTTCTAACACTGCAAACTAGGAAGCCAGATATCCTTCTAGAAGAAGTACAATCGTGTTCACAACTTGGTTAACTTTAGCGGTGAATATTAAATGACATCCCCAAATGCCCAGACTGCAAAAATTATACAATTTTTAGAATAAAAAAAAAACAAGTTGTAGTTTAAACCATCAGATTTATTTGGCATTATGAGTTGGACGGCATCAACAGATGTCTACAAAATTTAAAATTATCACTGTTATCACCAGAATATAATCCTGTCACCAAAAATATAATAATCAGAACAAATCATATCATTATTATTAATCAGCATACTATCACAATTATAATAAAATTAATTCTTTTAATTAATATAAAGGATGAACATATTATTATGCAGTAATTTCTCACAGCAGCAAAAATTGAAAGAACACAAATTCAATCAAGGCACATGATATCACATGGTTATGAAAATAAAACTGACACTGTTAATGGAAGTATGGATTTTGCTGAATGCTATGGTACATTTTGGCTGAAATCATCACAGGCTACTAAATTATGGTTATAAATGTAGTGAAATAGGAGATCAAAGATTAGATGGAGTAATACATGTCTACTTAAACAAATTAAAAAAAAAAAACAACTTTGGATGGATGGACTACTGTCAACTGCTCTTCAACAGATGTGACAGAAATACGGAAATTCTGCTTTAACATTGCATAAACACAAAAAAACTGCAGAATGCAGAATAAGTTCATCTGGATGCAAAAATAATACAAACAAAAAACTGCATGTGAGAACACAGTCTTGAATCTCAGTTCAAATAAATTGGTTTTGTTTGGGGCAATTTAATGAAGTTCTGACCTTCTATGGTATATTTTGTGTTGACAGTCCTCAGACCTATCAAATGCATGTAGTATATAAACAAAAACATTGACCCTACGAACCTCCAATTACAATTTTGAGCATGTAATAAATAAAGCATAAAAGTTACAGCACAAACTGACAGTTCATGACCAGCAGATCTGCTCAGGCATGTTACGAAACTTTATCACCCAACAGTCAAAATAATGTGGACAGTTTTGAAAGAAAACTAGCACATGCTAAATGGCATTCTTCCTATTTGTTACTGAGCAATATCACATGTCTGTACATATCTTGTGGCAACATGACTTATTTGTCTAAAACGTCTCTGATATTGAAAATTATAATAATTTCCTCGGATATTTTACATCAAACTGCTTGGGAATTTCACAACAAGACAAGGTGGTGTGATCTAATTGATATCACATGTATGTACGTCTTTTTTCGTTAATATCTTTCATGTAAACAAGGAAAAATAAATCCCTTGTCATAAAGTGCAAAAACTCCTTAAAATGAGAACACAGAATCCTGATCTTTTTTTCTTTCTAGATGTTGACGGGCTGTTTCCTTTTGAAATGTGAAAATTTAGTTCTGTTTTATACATGTAGCAACTGTGTGCTATGTTGCCTCAAGAGCCACTTTAGAGTCATCTGTCTTTTGTGTAAGAGTAGAGTTTAGTTTTTCCATCTTTTCTGTGAGGTCTGTTGGTTCCTGTACCTCAACCCTGAGGGGGTACGACCTGTAGCTGGGAGCCAAGCCCATATCTCCTGAGTCGCTGAACATCGTCTGCTGTTGAAGCAAGAGACGCTCATCTAAGCTTTGGAACAAGTTATTGTCTTTTTCTTTTTCTGTTAATGGGACAAGCTTTCGTTTTGACAGGGCACTCTTTTCCTTGTGGTAAACACTAAAAGAGAGAAAAAAGTATATTTTATAGATTGAAATAAAATATATTAAATAGCTCATTACATTATGCTATTTTCAAAGTTTCAAGTCAAAATATATAAAAAAACATTAAAATATTGAGCAAAATGATGCAGTTGATTATAAGCCTTTGCTAGGTGAAAATACCTTATATGAATATGTAGCATACAATATCAGAAGAATTCTATAAAACATCATCTTTATCTGGGTCAACTACAGCAATTTGCTTCAAATGAAACTACTGCTTTATAATAACCACAAATTCAAACCACACTTACTTAAAGTCACCCCCTTTCCTTAAGTTAAATTTATGGTGCTCATAGTCTCTGACGGGTATCTTATTTCTCTCCAGCAGCCAGCTGTGCTCCTCATATGGCCCAGGCATAAACCCGTTCACCCTCTCCTCAAACTCCCCATCCACAGCAGGAACTATGGGAAGGCCAGCTTCCCTCTTGGCAGTGTCCACGCTGGGATTGAGAACCACATTTAGAGGGGGTACATCATGGAGTCTCATGGGGTCTTTCCTCAGACTGAACTTTTTAGGTTCATCTTTCAGCAGGCCTTGCAGTTTTGCTATTTGATTATTTGATTTTGGGCCAGCGTCTTTCTGCTCTGTGACGGTATTGCAGCGATGTAGGTAAAATCTGGGGTCATCGATGACTATTCTTGACCGCCATTTTTCTTGGTCAATTTTCGCTGCTTCTCGTTGCTCTTCGTGCAGTTTGTCGCCAGCTTGGTGAATGGTCACTGGGAATATGTGTCCAAAGTGAGGCAAAGGTTTACGCCAAATATCGAGATCTTCCCTACGTTTGTGCCATGGGTAAGTGTCCCTGTCCAGTGTAGGATCTAGCACATTTGTATGCATGGTATTCTCTCGCCATGGCTGAATAAAGAAAGGAAAAGTTGAATAATTTTATTTTGTTCTAAACAAATGATATTAAGGATACATTCAGCATTTTTTTACTCTATTTTTTGAAAATTATATCATATTGTTTTACACATTGCTATCAAACAAACTCACTTAACATCTATTACATTGTGACATTAAGTTACACGTCTATGACACTGCCGCATTCCAGGCATCTCCAATGCATTGTCACATCAATGGCAAATGTCCCAAACACAGTTCATTCAGCACACTGTCACACCCAGCACACCTAACATATTCAGCACACTATCACACCCAGCACACCTAACACATTCCTCACTTACCTCTGTCAACTCATCCACTCTAGCCACATCTGGCTTCTTGGGGTGCTGGTTACACATGCGCAGGTTGTTCACCCCTGGGAATGTGAAGCCACGTGCAGTCCTCCAGGCTGCCTTGGAATCCACTGTCTCCTGTCTCTTCACTGCCTCCACACTGACTGGGACCACTGTCATAGAGTGGTTATAGTCCTGGCAGTAGGTGAAACGGTGGTCTGCACTCTGAGGGAGAGACAGAGGGGTAATGAAATATCTGATAATTAAAGTGAGTTATCACCATGGGTATTTTTTGGATGAACACCAAAATAGTTATAGGTTTGTTGTTTTCAGGGCATATCTATAATATCTTATTCAATACTTTTATTCATACAGCATTTATTGATTACAATATCACCTTGTGGCAGAATGCTTCTATGGAATGGGTATGATCCTTGGAGAGGTCAAACAAAAGGGCAGCAAAAGAAAAGGTGTCTGTTGTCCATTTACCTTGAAATGAGGGTTATTACAGTTCAGGAATGAGACTGCCATTAATGAAAAAGTCTAAAAATATGACATGGGGTCCAATGAAAATCTGGAATGCCTAGGCCAATGATGTTTTTGGCTTCCAAAAAGTCAGGAATCCACTGATAGTCTGGAAAACCTCTTCCTTGATAGTTATAATGTATGTCTTACCTTGGACAGCTCTTGGCGTAACTTCTCTTTGGCCAGTTCTGTGGAGTTCAGTGACTGTGTACTGTAGTTGTGAGCAACCTGCACATTGGCACGTACTGTGGGGGGCTTGGAACGTGTCCTTAGACTGCGATTTCTCTCACTGGTCTGTCTGGTGGAGATCTGTGGGAACATCAACAATTAGTAATTGCTTTGCTAATTAACTATCTGAACCCTTTTTCATTAATTAAAAAAATCATTTAGGAGGCAGTAATCTGACAACATTTAATGACATATTAAAGATTCAACAACATTTAACAACATATTACATGCAAAGTACATGTAACAGAAAAAAAAAAGAATCAAAAAGTCACTCAACCATGGTAAGCTAACCAATTACAAAACATGTCTTAGACCCCATTTCCATAGATTTTTAAATCGATCTATCCCTGTGGGAGTCTCACTAGATTAGCCGGCTTAAGCGTCTGTCCCGCCTACTGAAAGCTGTAAGGGGGTAATTAACTATGGTGCGTGCTCGGCTGACTGCAATTTAGCGTGAACCCCCAGGGAGTTAGGTTGATCTAAATCTTAATCTCTAGATCGATCTTAGTTGCCATTTATTAGTTACATGTACTTGTATCATGTAATAGAAAACAACATGATAAAGCTTACAATATTTTCTCTGACGTAATCATGATGGCTTCCCAGCATGTTTCTCTCCTCCACCACCTCCATATAGGTCATGTTGTAGTTGTCCAGGGGCGGCCAGTATCTTGACCGAGACTTGGGCTGGTCAGCTGCTTCATGGTCATTGGCCATGTCATGGTGATCCTCTGCCACCTTGTCTTGAGTCTCTTCACCAAGATCTGTGGAGTGAAGGACGGGTGATTAAATATACTGAAGTGTGTGTGTGTTTCTTTGTTCACATTTATTTCATTTTATTTCAACATTCTGTCTGATAAGTTCATATTTTAGAGGTCTGGTGAGAACCCTCTTTCTTTTGGAGTAAATTAAATTTCTTTTATCTTTAAATTTGGACAAACTTTATTTCTTAAGTTTCTTTTTGAAAGCTGGCCCTGTGGTTGAATAACTTGTTTACCTGCAAGGTCGTCTGCTGTAAGAGGGACTCCAAACTCTCTGCTCATGGACACGATCATTTCAGCATTGGGGAAGAGGTCATTACGAACAGCTGTTCTTAACATCTTCATCCTTGTCAGCTACAATGATAAAATATTACAGCTTACATATTAATTTAAACAGTAATGTTTAGTCATAAATTCAGGATTTCCAGATCTTTTTAAAATTTCTTTAAAAAACAGTCTACTATTGACATTTACTGAAATGGTAATGATAATCTTATGGTGGGCAAAGGAAAGTGAACATCAGCACTTTGAAACTCAGGCAACAGAAATTTTTCATTTTTCTTTTAAAATACTCCCATCTTATTTCTTTAATCAAAGTACTGCATCATTATCAAGGTATATTTCAGGAGGTATTAAAGCGACAACCAATGGAAACAGATTTTCAGCCTTGCTGTATGTGCTATTAAATCCTACATACCTCATCTAACTTTACCAGGGCTTCAAAGCAGGGTTTAGGCACCATATCACGCACATACAGCAATGGCTGCTGCATGATTACGGACAGAGGCTCGTGCAGTTTTACGCGGCACAAATCCACATCCAGTGGCCCGTACAGCCTCTCTTTAAAAGCCAGGTCAGAGTTAAAGAGCACTTCAATTTCTGAAACACAAATCATTATATATAGACGATAGAATACTTGTTTGTTAAAATGCATTAAGAGTATGCATAACATCTGTTTGTAAAACAGAGATATTTAAAAGCTTAATGTTTGATCAATCAAATAAATAAATAATTAACAATTTGAAATACAAAATCAAGCACACTTAATAATACTGTAATCAATTGTTTAATCTGACAGAATAAAAAAATATATATACTGATCCAGAAAAAGCAATTGTATATAGTATGTTGTCATTATTGCTTTCAAACTTACAAAAAAAAAGTACTGAAATAGTCAAAATTAAAGCCTCATAAATCACTACTTTTCCTCATAACAAGACTAGTCTAATTCTAAATCTTGAAAGCTGCTTAATCACCTGCATTCTCAGGTTTAGGCAGGGCCTCCCACAGCTGTTGTATGGCCCCATCCTTGAGACCCTCCAGCACAAACAAGTGGAACACACCGTCCATCAGCTGGAAACCAGTCACTATATCCAGGTGGCGACTCCTCTGCTGACCCCTGAAGTTACAGGATACAAACAATATAGAATGAACAGGAGAAGCTTGGGTCATGTTAGCATGCCATTTTTAGTATTATCAACTCAATATTTATGAAAGATGGGGGGGGGGGGGGGGGTATTTCGCAAAAATGTTACACTAGTCTGTAAAGTATGCTACCATCTGTCATAGTGAGGGTATTGGTAAAACATGGACATCAGTCCTATGATATCCCTTATAGTAACCACAACTATGGACACAGTTGTACTTGCATACTTATTAGATTCAATAAGGTATTTTATTTATTTATTTATTTGTTAATATATTTATGGGGGAGTGTTAAACAGCCCACTTTAAAGTGTTAAAAGAGCAGTCTTGTGACCTTATACTTACAATGACAACTTGTATGTTGACAGGGCAGCGTCAATGACATGTTGTGGCATGGTGTCAAGTTCCAGAGCCCTGGCGTTGATGTCAGTGACCAGCGTCTGAAGCTTCCGTAGAAACTGGACATTTTTGTAGTCAAATATGAACACAATTCTGCCAAATGGACACTGTGGATAAAAAACAAGAACAGTTACTGTATAATTAATGGCTTGGTAACACAATGTATTTTTTTCTATTTTGTAGGTTTCAAAATAACGTGGGGTGTTAAATTTGATTTTAATTCACAACTTTGATACACATTATTTATTGTCATATTTTAATGTGCATGTGAGCTCTGGAGTTAGGATATCACCAAAGATGAAGTCACAGATGCCTCACAGGTAGAGAAACACAGTTTAGTCTCTTATGAACCAACAATTCTTTTAATGCTGTGTTCAGAATAAAAGTTATTGTACCAGCAGGATCAATCTATCTAAACAGGGATTCTCTCAAAGGCACATTCAATGTAATCAGTTAAATTGTTTGGCATGGTAGTACGATATCTTCTATTATTGACACAGCCTTACACTTTTTGTTTAATGTTCTCTTACACTCACTTCAAATGCTGTCTCCAGCTCCCCCTTGGCTGCCAGCTCAGATGGAGTCACCAGTGGGTAGGCCAGCTCAAAGCGCACCTTCAACATGGCGTGAGACTGGAGATAATGGCCCACAGGGAGAGGAGTGTCCACTGGAAGGAACAAAAATAGTATAATTTATAAACAGGAATATGATATTAAAATAGTCATCAGACTATGTTCACCTGAGGTTCAAAGATTATAGGATGCTATAAGCATGGGATGTTTAGGCCAGCAGAAGCTTGCTGATAAGGAAGGAATGAAGAAAAATGATTATCAAGATGGAAATTCACATCTGGCAGTTCACAGATTAGAAAAACCTTATAACCTTATAATTAATGCAAATCTATATACTGTGAATCTAAAAATGAATTAATCAGTAAAAGACCCCCAAAATCAGGGAAAATTTTTAAATTCCATGCATTACAAGGCAATCCCATGTGTTTGGGTCAGAATATAACCCTCTGTCATCAGGGTATCACTTGAATCACCATATCCCTGCACTGTACACCAACTTACCTGGTCCATCCACAGCCCCCTCCACACCAAACACCTTCCCTTCCTCTGTGTTCTTCATACCCAGGAGGTCAGGTGGGGGACAGTTGTGTAGGGGCACCTTGAGATTCATCACCCTCTCCCCCAGGAGGAGTTCTGACAGGTCGAACTTTCCCACGGCGTACGGGTCCCAGGGCTTGGGGCGGCCTTTCAGGGGGTTGAACAGAGTTCTCCTGCCTGGAATTATAATATGAAGTTCATTCTGACTTGTAAAACTTGTTTGATTCAAGTGAGTCAGTCTTGTGCTGTTTAAAACTGTACCATCAGTTTTTATATTAGATAAGACAAATAACACACCGAATGCTGAAAACTGAGTGCTTTGGATATAAAAAAAGAACGTCCATGTTGAATCTTCCATTTTATTTTAAAAATCATCAATTATAATTCAATACAAAATATTTGAAATTATCATTATAATTGTTATGGCTTTTCTTAATCATAACATGAGCGACCCAGCAACTGAAGTTTATAGAATACATACCTGAGACTGCTCCAACACTGTTGATCTTTTCATCCTCCAGGTCATCACCAAATAAGGTAGCTTTCAACTTCTCTTTCTCAATGATACGGTCTCTGTCATGGACCCCTATCTCCAGGGGAGGGCCATTCAGCAGCTCCCTCAGTTCACAGGGGGGAATTGTGCCTGGTAAAGACAATATGGAAGTCAAACCCAAGCTTGCAAATAAGTAGTGACACTGAAGGACTGAAGATTGTACTCATGGGGGAAACACAGTGGTCTCTCCACCGGTGATAATAAAAATAGTTTTATTTGCTTTTGATGTAATTTTTTAAATACTTGCATATTTACTGATCACAAGCTGTGCTTGTTTTTATACAAATATACAAAAGTATGTCATTTTCACTGCAGTTAACTGTTATTCCTATTTACCTAGTAGGAGGTTTTACAACGATCTTTCTTCAACAGTTCATCTTGTTTCAATTTATTGGTAGACATATATACAAAAAATGCCCATTTTACTGCATTCATCTAAGATTGTTAACTTTCTTGTAGTGACAATCTTTATATTGTTTCAACACAAGTACACAAGAGAACTGAAGTAAACTAGCTGTAATTCCTCACCTAAGAGGACCACATTGAGGTCATCCCAGTAGATGCTCTTTCCCTGCTCCCTCCCAACACTCAGGTGCCACGGCTGTTTATAGAACTGGTACTTGATATAGGCTGGATCACATCTGAGAAAGAGAGAGAGAGAATAAAGCATATATGACAAACTTGTGCATTTCAACACTTGCAAACTTTGAAAAACTGCTGTTAACTTGGGTAAAATGAATTTTTTTTTCTCTTGGCGATCCTTTGAAACAGGTAGTCACTACAGTTAATTAATTAATTAATTTATAAATAAATAGAACAAAAATTGATTTACTCAGATTCAAAACAAGAGATATAATAAATAAATAAGCAAACAAATAAAGCAAAACTTGAATTATCCAGATTGAGAACAAGACTTACTTTTGTTTGAGTTGTGAATAAGTCAGAGGGGTCTCAGGCATGTTGGTGGCAGAATGCACTTTAATAATCATAGGGTTGAGTGCCCTGTGCTGCTCCTCGGACATAAGTGGACCATCCACTGTCACAGTAAAGAACAGGTCCTCCACGCCAGGGACAGGGGTCCCTATTCTGTTGGTGAGGCTCTTCATACCTGAGAGGGTAGACAACATGGATTTATAGTTAAACAGAGCCATCAGTTTGGTGATAAATAAAAAACCTCACACAGCACTTGGTAACTTGGTATATCAAATGCCACAGAATATGGTTATTACTTGATTTTTTTTCAAAAACCTCACTTATATTCCAGTATATTATTTTTTCAAGATTTACCATTTTAGTTACTCATAAGAAAGACATTTCTAGCTTAAAATCAATTAAATTTTCAACCAACATTTAATGTTACATAGACAAAATCTAAAGAATATTGCTAATTCATTTTGTTAATGATTCAAAGGAAGAATTATTGTATCAATATATAAATGAGTACAACCAGAGCAATTGGTTCAACATTCATCTCACGTACAACATCAATATGCTATCACAGCAATTCTTTATACCTACCTCCAAAGAGAATAGCCATTCTAACTGGCACACAGCATATTCCAAACTTCCGTGCCAGCTCAGCTGCTGCAGCCTCTGCCTCGGCTTTCTTAGTCCGTCTCCGTTTGGGAGCTTCTCCCTCCTTAGAGTCCTTAGAGATGGCTGTCGTGGCAACAGTAGCTGGGCTCTTAGGTGCAGCAGTGCCATCTGAAATGGAAATATTATTTATGACAGGTACTTCGTAATTGTTCAGTGCATAAAAGGCACTCACATGTATAAACACTCTGAATCCCCTTATGTTTCAAAAATAATGAACCTTCGTCTTAAGATAAATAAAGAATACTGAGCAAGTTTACTGAATACTTGAATGTTTTGGTTCAAAAAGTTCATTTTGCTGAAAGGTATGTACATTGATGACTAAAAACAAAATCTACGTGTCGGTTAAAAAAAAAATCACACAGCTACAGCATACAGATGGCGCCACTTATAAACCCATCAATAAATTTGCATATATTGCACTAGGTACACAAGTGGGGTTATAGAGGGGGCCAAAGGGTGATGACTTTGGGTGGGTGGGTGGGAGGGTGGAAGATGGGGGTGATGACACTTACTATCACTGCCAGCCACAGACTTGCCCTGGGTCTTGTGTGAGGACTGTGCTGAGGACGGTCCCTCACGGCGCCCTGATGGCGACAACGACGAAGACGCAGCTCTGTCTTTCTTCATGTCTGGAGGAGGTAAGCTCTGGCTCCGGGACATTCTGGTCTGGCCCTTGGGCTCTTCCTTCTCCCCTGCATGTCCACTCTTGGACACCCTGCCCCTGGGTTTCTTTGGGCTCTGTTTCTTCAGCTCTTTAGCAGCTGAGGGAGAGTCCACTCCAGCCAGCCTGCCCAGTCGGCTGTATGACCTGTGATTATTAAGTATTTAAAATTAATATATTGGTTTAATCTTTGATTCAGCTCACTTGATAATTATGCCTACGGATTGTATATCATTACAGCAGAGGTGTGTTTAGCTACAATAAATTATTACTCCCCTATTATTAGAAAAGGTGTATTTGAGTTCAGTACACTGACAAGCTTCATAGATTACCTGTATGTTCTACTTGTTTTTCAAAAGTTTTGAATAATTAGAAAAATATCATACAATATTATGTCATGTAAATGTTCATAGAGTGACTTAAAATATTATGTGTCCAGTACTATTTTGTATAACTTAAAGTTGGATTGACTGAATTCTTTATCATCTCTTGCTCTCAGTAACCTCCGTACATGATCTTACAATCTGATTCAGAAATCTCGTACCACATACAGCTGTATAACATGTACTGTACACATTTATACAAATATTTTTGGTTTCACTAGTTTTGTTTTATGGCATTATATCATGCAATCCAAACAACACAGCTCTTATGATAGGGGTTATAATATATCAACATTAAAAAAAAAAAGATTCAAATATCATTTCCTGGTTCTTTAATTTGGTTTCTGGTTTCACTTATTTTGCTTTATGGCATTATATCATGAAATCCAAACAACACGGCTCTTATTGTAGGGTTTATAACATATTTACACTAGAAAAATGCTTCAAACCTCATTTCCTGGTTTTCATCTTCCTTTGTTTCCTCATTCTTCACAGACACCAGTGTGTAAGGTGTCCCAGGTGTCCCGGCTTGTGTTGTGGGTGCTGCCCCCTGCTGGGGGACAGGCACACTAGGTGTGACTGCACTGGTATTGGTGTTAGCAGGAGATGCAGCCCTAGTCACTGACAGTTCAACTTTTCCTGTAGCCTGCACTGGCTGCTGCTGGTCTTTCCCTTGCTCCCTGTCTCTGGCAGCTGAGAAATCAGGAAACAGTCAAAAATATTGAATTACTGATGGCTGGTAACTATCAAAGCATTGGTCTGTTGAGTCAAGACTGAGACAGTAAGAATAAGTTTTTGAAGTTCAATAAATCTGTTTCCTCTGATTTAACCTGCCATTTCTTCATATTCATGTTTCTAAATGCACTAGGTCTTATGTTGTTAGAAATCAATCCATCATCTCTAGCTCTGTATTGACTTTGATATCCCTTGGATTCTTACAAACACCCAATGCAATATATAAAATCAAACTACTTCTTCAAATATTTTCATCACTTAAATGATGAAAGGTTTTTAAATATTCATTTAATATAATTTACAATCAATTTACAAAAGAAGCCATAAATGTCTGACTCATTCCTCAAATCAAGTAATACCCACCTTTGTTCTTCCTGTTTTTCTCTTTCTCCATCTTCATGAGTCTGCTCTCTCTCCACTCTGCCCTGAGCTCAGGTTGGGAAGGCAAGGGACGGTCTAAGTACAGCTTCTTGGGCTGAAGTTTCAGGTAGTTGTTGGACTGCTTCATCACCAGTTGCTTCACCCCTCCAATATCATCTGGACTGGTGCCTGAATTAAGAAGCAAATTGTTTTGAAAAAATTGGGCTGGTATCAATTACCAGTATTGATCAAGGCAATTAACAGAGGATTTATGCTGGTGGCCGTACCTTTATCAAGGGGCAATTAATGATCTAAGTTTAATTAAGGTTTGTAGATGTTGTCTTTGAAATATGATATCTGAAGAAATACTTAATTCAATTTCCTACTAGGGTGGGATATGAGTGCCTGTCATAAATCTTACTGATACTTTTGTTCAGTTGAAATAAGCTGTTAGTCTCTCTGATTTATGATGAGATAAGAGGAAAAATCTAGATTCAATATAACCTTCTTCACATTTCAGTTTTGCCCTAGTTCACATAGGAATCATAAAATAAATCACAATGGGGCATATTGACCTTGAGTGGCTATGAATATAATGATTATGGAATAAAAAAATTGCCAAAATATTCAGACTTTTGAACAATTTCTGCTGGCAAAAGTACCTGGTTTGGCAGTGGGAAGCTTGAAAGCCTTTGGTCTGTCATATCTGGCTCTCATGCCAAGTTTGTCCTTGGTGTCCCAGATCCTGAGCTCCATGGTGTGGTTATACAGCTTCAAAAGGGAGTCCTTGGTCAGGTACATAGTGTGCCTTAACAGAAGAAGACATGCATCATTAATTTATTGATATTCATTCTCCTGTTTGTTTCAGTTGTTTTTTTTTTTAATTTTAAACTTCACATCACATGCAGACTTTTCATTTTTTTATTTATTAATATTATCTTATTGTTTTTTCTCTTTAGAGTTAAAATGAAGAAAAAAAGAAAACGGATAGTCTACAGTTTCAATCAAATGATGTTGTGCAGTCGACGGCAGTCCTTAAAACAACTAAACTCAGTCTCTTTAGAATAGATATCAAATAGCACTTTTTTTCAATCACTGCAATCAAACAGACTTTAATCAGTCCTCACTTTAAGGTCCAGGCCACCCATGTCTGTTCCCCATCCTGCCATGTCTTGACCACCTTAGCGTCCAGGTTCTCCGGGTAGATCTTGGCGGCCATCCCGTAAGTGACCACGTCAATCCTGACCGGCTCGTCATCATCGGGCATCAGGTAATACTCGCAGTGGTAGTACCCCTGTGCACGCGGTGCCTCCACGATGCGCTTTTTGCGTCGCACCAGGTCTGTGAAATCTGGCATGTCTTCGTCGTCAGCTGAAATAAATGCCATGTGAAATGTTCTATAAAATGATCTCACAATGATACTTTTTGTGTTTCAAACATTTTGGCTTTTTTTTTTTCGGTGTCCACTGTTGGTATACCAAAACCATCATGCAAGAATAAAATTGCTTACATATAAAATGAATTAATAATACTAGGATTTTTTTATTTCTTTTTCTCAAGTTATACAAAAATAAACCAAGTGTGACATTATGGCAGTGTTCAAAACATCAAGCACAATAATAGCATCCTGGAGTAAATCTTTGTCTGGTACTTTTCCACTTGTTCCGTTTTATGCATATGCAAACCAGATTCTATTATGAGCAGTCTATTTGTGTATTTGGTTTAATCTCATAGTCAAGAAGGATAAAACATTATATTCAACCCAGGTCATTAAAAAAGCTGCTACATGTATTAATTACCAACAAATAACTCAACCTCGAGTTTAGAGACATTGTACAGTTCTTATGCTAGTAGTCATCTAGATTACATGTCCTCAATGCTGGTCAGTTTTATTTTAAAAAAACTTTCAAATACATAAAAATGAGTATTTTACTTTATTTGGTTTGTTTACTTTGTTGCTGTAGATGTCTGCCAGTCTAGATATCTAGACCTACCCCTGGGGCACACTACCATCCACAGGAACTCATGAATCAATCTACAAATCACAAAGCCTACTTTGTTCCTGCCCATAACATTATGTGTATTCACCAATCAATACACCCCTCCCAGAGTGCTGCTATTATAATAGTTGCAGCTCAGAGAAGTTGTGATTTATTGATCTACTTCAGGTACGTAAAATGCACACAGTAATGTTCATTAACAGACTGGTAAAACATAAAACGAATATAAAATGATTTTGTGAAGGAATACTAGGCAATAAATGTGATGAAAGCCAGACTTTGGGCCATTTTTGTTTTAGCATAATCATTGGCAACTAATTTTTTATGTAGGTTCATGTTGGCTTTTCTTTATGTTTACCTATACGGAAAGTAGACAGTTTGGCTGTGTGGTGTTCTTTTTGTAAAAAAAAACTAATTAAAAAAACATTGAAAATCTTAATGCAGAAGTAAATAAATCTGACAGTAAATGAAAGCACAGCGTATGGCATGAGTAGCACTCTCCCCCCTCAAAAGCAATTATAAATTAATGCAGTGCATAAAAGAGTGCTGAGAGATTATTAGTATTGATTTGGTGTCTGAAATAACAGTGCATAAACCAATTCAAAATGTGCTGTGTGATTGTTTTGAGTTAGTTTAATATTCACTTCCTAGTTGAAAAAATAAAAGCCCACCACAAGTGCTGAAAAAGAGCAGTTCATATTACATATAATGTATCCTGTGGTTGTGCTACTACAAATATCACTTCAGGGAAATGTGCAACACTCCTGTCACATGACAAGCATGTGACTTATTTAAAACATAATATATGGCACCCGTGAGATTATCTACCTTGTCTGGATTGGTCACCTGACATAGAACCTATGTCAGATTCTTGTGTTTCTTCGACTAAAATAATGCATAACAGTTCATATTTACATGTCCAGGTTATATTTAAAAATGTATTGTAATGTTAAGCCATAAAAGCCATACAAGAAAAAATGATAATAATATAGCTGAGCATGTTGTGATTTTAAATTTCTGAGATTGTTGAATATCCAGTACAATTCCAAATGAGAACAGCTTTTGAGGTATAGAGAAGTTTTTATAAATACAACCATACAGAATTTTATACAGAAACATAATGAATTAATACTCCTCATTGCGCTTATTCAAATCTTACCTGTTGGCACTGCTAAAGCAGTGGCAATTGTAAAAGTCACTTTATGAGCATCTGGAGGTAACGGTCCCTTTTTGCCTCGTCTGCGCGCCTCAAATACAGCCTCCCCACTTGCACGACTCTGTCGCCCAACACTGCTCTCAGCTTCGTCATACAAAGGGGACTTTCTCCCTCGACTTGAGCGACTTCCTGGTCGGCTTGATGCAGTCTTTGCTGGACTCTCTGGTCTGGACACAGATTCATCCAGATTGGTAGATTTAACATCACTTAACTGATCAGCATCCTTGACAGTTTCTTTTAGTGCACCTTCTTCAACAGTAATTTCCTCAGACACGATAACAGCTTTCTCAGAAGCTGTTTCATCATCTTTGATTTTTGTTTCAGTTTGTTCTGTTTCCTCTTGTGCAACCTCAGGATTAGCACTGTCAGTATCAACTTCTTGGGATTCTACCTTTTCTTCTTCCATCTTTCTTTTTTATTCTTTTTTTTTTCCTGAAACATTAAATGATACTAGTACTCAGTGCCATTATTGCCAGTGTCAGTAACCTTTCAATTAATATTTCCGCTTCTTAAGAACCCATATCTCAATCAACAATGAAACAGTGACATTCTTTTGGTACTGCATGCTAATAATTCAACATAAATGTAAAATGCTACGCAGTATAGTCACCATGCATTGTACAGTACAGTTGTAAATCTATGTGTACGTTTACTAGTACTAGTGTCAATAATCATATTCTGCTAAATAAAAAAACATAGCCCTAGAACCCCTAACAGCAAGATTCCCCACATAACTCTCTTAGATTTCTAAGTTCTCACAGGGGTAATGTTGGTGAAGTTCCCCTACTCGAATAAGCCAGTGGCAAAAACAGTGGCTATGACCGTACAAGCTACCACTATTTTCTGTACAAAAAATAAACCATACATAATTAAAACAATATTATTTACATTGATGCACAGGAACATTGTTACAAACTTTATACTTACCAATTATATCAAATCAAACTATTGAGTAGAAGCTACTTTTTAGGGGTCATCTTCTATTCATTTTGTCGAAACTTTCATACACCGCCTGTGACCCTACCACAGCTATCATGTAAACATCGAACGTTCCGTTCAACAAAATAGTTCCCAGATATAGGTCGCATCTTTTCGGCAATATTACGTGCAAGTAGTAAAAGTTACATTTTCTTGTAATTTTATCATGTATTGGAAAGCTCTCGTCATTTTCAATAACAAACTTTGTAATCTTATATATCATGCGCAATAATTTACAACATGGGTGTTGAGTGTGTTGCTACAACAACACAACATCCAAAAGATGGCGCGGCTATCAAGATAAGCCAATGATGATATACTTTCCGAAGTAAAAGCTGATGTTACAATTAATTATGATATCTGTGTTGATAAAATTATCACATATAAATGGGAACATTATGATATGTTACTTTCAAAATGAAAAACATTGTCATCGAACTGATATCAGATATCAAGGAGATGACCCAGGCTTTTTATTGCGGGGGAATGGGAAGGGGGGTGAGGTTAAAGTTTACACTGCATAAATTACAGGGACAAATAAATTGCTTAATTTTTAGTGAAGGGAGGGGGGAGTACAGGTTGTTGTACCACCACACTGCCCCTTGATCTGCCCACCGATAAAGGGGGGGGGGGGAGAGGGGGAATCGAAAATGAAAATGTTTTTAATTATAGCGTTTTTCAATATTTTTCCCGATTCTCTTAGCAACCAAAGTCAATTAACTTACTGTCAGTGTAATAGTTCTTTCAAACATTACACTTAATCATGCTTTCCCAATCTTCGTTTTTTATTTTACTTTATTTATTCATATACTTATTTACTTAATTTTCTTATCCATTTATTTATTTATTTATTTATTTATTTATTTATTTATTTATTTATTTATTTATTTATTTATTTATTTATACATGTACCCAGTTCTATTATTTTATTTTGTATGCGATGATTAACATAAACGGATCCAAAGGAGATCATCTAACTCCTTTCACTAATGCTGTCTATTTTTCTGGCCATGGGTGTGGGGGGAAAGTGCCCTTTTTATAGAGGTACCGGTACTCCACTATACATGTAGGCCTACTAGTAGGGCCTACTCCCTGGCGTACGATCGTTGGTGCGTAGAGCAGCATTTTATAGGGACTATCAACATTTTTTTTACATTTGGTCTTCGTTGATGGGCTTAATTTTTCTCTAAGGAGTTGAATCTGATTCAATTGTGCAAACGTAGAAAAAATGCCAAAATTGCCAATTTCTGTAGGCCTATTTTTTTTTTAATCTTTTGCGCAATTTTATACATGTATTTACAGTGGCGGATTTAGAGGGGGGAGGGGTCCTGACACCCCCCCCCCCCCTTCGATCTGGTCCCCTCTTGAAATGAGAATTTTGACTAGCTGAATCATACATGTAGTTTAAACCTTACCAAATGGCACCGTTCTCCCTCTAAAATCCCACCCATCCGCGGACCCACCCTTCAAATAATGCTGGATCCGCCCCTGATATAAGCCTACTACTATATACTATCGTATCCTCAGTATATAGCAAGTAAAAAAGCACAAAGATATCCATTTCATAAAACGTGATCAAGTGCGATATCATGCAGGGAAACCCCACTTAACATCAATACAATGAACTTAGTGTTTATCTTTCATAAAAAACAGGAATAATGGATGAATAGATAACCACTACTATAGCTAGTGGACATAAATGAGCCCATTGTGCAGGGAAAGGAGCTGACAAAATGTATATATCATGTCAATGACCAAGACACTATCTGTGCAAAACTAAATGATAGTGCAGTGAATAAATAATTGACGGTAAAAGCTGCACACTTCTCAGCCTATAATCATTAAGGAAAAAAGTACTTACCACAATTTTAACGTGGTATCGGAAAACAAAGGTTGACCTATTCTTCTTTATGTCTCTCTTACACGATAGGGATGACTTACTCTCATATTTCTTTTAGAGACATGGGTGCTTGGATTTCTAAAAACAAAAAAATCATATGCATTATGTAATTATACACACACACGTTTAAAATTATGTTACAAAGAATGGTGCATGTTAAATAAAAAATAAAATAAACGGAAAAATAAAAGAGAAAAAATAGAATAAAATTATGCATATTGTGTAAATGTCATTGGGTGTATACCAAACTGTAGTAAATCTGGCCCCTCTACATTCTTAAATTATTATTTCTACTCTTTTCCTGCAAAATAATGACGTGACTGCTAAAAATTATTTTAAAATTTCAGGTGACACTAAGATTAAGAACTGTGAATCTTAAGTTTATCTTGGAGCTACATTCACGTATGATGGTCGTTTACAAAGTGTACTAGATAGATAACCTAATGTAGACAAAAGAGATGCCATGTGTGGAAATTTGTCGCATTCGTGAACAAAAATATGAATTTCCTTTTTGGGGCATTTTTATCGGCGATCTTATACAGCTGCGAGACGCGCGGGTTAGGGCAATTTGTAAGTAATGTAGAGGCTATGTATATGATGGCTGTCAAAACTACCGGGCGTACGTAGCACGTGTCCTAACCCGATTTGTTTAATTGAGGCCTGTTTGCCAATGTTAACATCCCGTGTCACATCAGCCCAAAGCAGCGCTGATCCAGGAATATTTGAAGGGGGGGGGGGGGGGGTCCGTGTATGCAAGACGACCCCCACCCACCCTCTTGGCGTGAGGTTCGGGGCCCGCTGAAAGGCCCCGAAAAAAGGGCGTACGGCGCCATTTGGTACGGTTTCGAACTATGATTCAGCTAGTCAAAATCCTTAATTTCAAGAGGGGACCATTGGTGTGATTTATTTTCCAGAAATCGAAGGGGGGGATCAGCCCCCCCCCCCCCCCCCATGACCCCCCCTAAGTCCGCCACTGCAAAGCTTATCCCCTAGAGAAGGGGGGGGGGGGGTAATACATTACCCTTTTATTTCTGTATGGGACTTCTGTGTAACTAGTAAGACAAAGGGCTTTAAATATATGACAGGTTTATTGGAATCTGCAGAGGAAGATTTGGGAAATGGAATTAAGGGAAAAAATTCATCAAAAAATGGACCCAAAACAAATTACTGTGTATCGAGAGTCAATAAATCAATTGCCAGCTCATGCACTTGTATGCAACCAAACCATTGATATCTCAGAGTACAAGAGGTTATATCATTCACACGTCTCCCCACTTCGTCACATAACCTGGCTATAGAGACTGGGCGATAGGCCCGTACCTATTACATGTACTAGAGAGGATACACCGTGTGTTTGCGGGGTTTCAGTGCAAACAGAGGGGCATGTACTGCTTGAACGCCCTCTGACTTAAGAACTAAAAGAGCAGTATGAGCTCTACTTTAATAGTGTATATGAACTTATGAGAGAGAGAGAGAGAGAGAGAGAGAGAGAGAGAGAGAGAGAGAGAGAGAGAGAGAGAGAGAGAGAGAGAGAGAGAGAGAGAGAGAGCAGAAGGCAACCTGCCGTCTCGTGTCAATTAGTATATAGTCTATTGCTCTCAGGACAGGTGTCAAGTGGTAACTGGTCTTAATAAAGACAATACGCCTCAATCAGCAACGCCGCGTCTCTCGTGTAAGGACACGTTAAGGGTCGCGTACATCTGAGCTCTCCATTGTCGATACACTTGACAGCCTTTAACAACAATGATGCGACCAATCAAATCAAATGGACGGACTGTCCTGTGGTATGCTTGACTGAAACTCATTAATAGGCCTACAAACACCATGGACTAATTGTTTTAATGCAGATGAGATTGAGAGCCACAAAAGTGCGTTCACACTGGCCTAATATAGACCGAACACCAGAAGGCCCAAATTACGTAGACGATGACATTTGTAATAACCAATAAAAAACTAAATAAAATGATAATTTCTTGATCTTACGAGTTGAGAGTGAGGCGTTGCTGAGAAGAGGATATAGCTCGGGTTGACACGAGTGAATCGGGCCTAAGCGTTATTTACATCATTTTGCATGCGCTCAATGTGAGCACTGTGTGAACGTGTTTTTACGGCCACCAGCATTCGTGTCGGATTCACATCAGAAGTTTATGGGGCCATGGCGACCGAATCATCATCAACTTCGAATCAAATTCTTTGTCATCGAGGCGTCTATTTAAAGCGAGCAAGGCGACGGTTTTGACACTTCGGTCCGGTGCTTTTGTTTGAGAAGACAGACGCTGCGAGAGGAAAAATGGCCATGTTTGCAACCTTGTTGTGCGCTCTTAGTGCTGCCCTGTTCGTCCAGGCGCAAAATCCTTCTTCTTATCCAGGTAAGGTACCTTATTTCAAATCTAACAAAAAAAAACTATTTATTAAAAAATTCGCACTCGTACAGTTTTATATTCAATATTTTTTTATTTGTTTAGCACCTTCAAGTATGTCTCCAATTTTAACAATTTTTAAAATATTTATTTACTTTATTTGCCACAGAAGCGTTCTTGATTATTCTTGGCACTTTCTTTGCAGTCACTGAATGCTGCCAACTCGGAGACTTCATTGCTGACGCCATGTACTCCAACATCTTTTACCGCTGTGAGAACGCCGACAACTTCGGCAACCTTAAGGCCAGCAAGATGTCCTGTGCCAATGGCGCTCGCTCCGACGAGGGATTCGTCAGTGGACCTTCCTACACCAAGTACCCCATCTGTGGTGTCATTGACAAGGCTTGTACCGCTGACTATCCAGGCCAGTGCTACAGAAGAGCTTCAGGTAGGCAACCATTAAAAATGCTGAAAAATTTGACGAAAGTAAAATCTCCGTAACAGTTTCAAAAATTGTGCCTACGAAAGTGGCTGTGTGTGCCAGAGTGTGTGCGTGCGGGCACATGTGTGTGTACGTGCTTGCTAATGAACGTCTCATTTTTATATTAAAGGTTTCACCTCTTGGGTGAACTTCGAGTCTCCAAAGTACGGATCCCGAGGTGACAACGAGCTGTTGCATGATGCACAGGTAAGGCCTATACATGTACTCTCTCTCACGTGTTCTTATGGTTTGAATACAGCAGCCTTGCAGTGAACTTAAAAATGAATAGTTCTTGAAGAGAAAGGGGATTCCAAAAAAAACATTCTTGCCACCCAAGGGCACTTTGTCATGGCCAGACGGAGTTTCCTGAACTAGCGTCAGAATAGTTGCAGATAGGATCATTTCCAAAACCGTCTTGCATTAATTTTTTTATAATTATGAAAGATGGTGATAAATTATCGCCTACATATGAGTATGAATAGCCTCACCTAAACAGCCTCCCCCTCCCCTAATTTTATACGCTAGCGAACTCATTGGCGCCCTTATAAATTGAATTGTGATCTTGCTCTGAAACCATGCAGTAGAAAATACAGACACTAATGTAAAGATACTATGATTGTATGTATGCATAAAAACGATTTCTGGTTGGGGTATTTTAAAACATTCTACATAGATAAATGCGTTTCTGGTAACTTTTGAGAGAGTTTTTGTGTGCTCGACAAATTAGGGATATTTTCTGAGCTAACGCATACATTTGGGTAACGACCCACCTTCCAAATACAGGGGATGACTGAACACGCACAAAAATCGCTTGCTAATTATTACTATCGAATCCAGTAGTTTTCGTATGCTTTTTTTTTTTTTTTTTGAATTTTCATAATGTATTCAGCACACATGCTAATTTATCTCTAGGTTTGCCTTGTATATTAAAGACTCTTTGCACGATTAACAGTTTCAACTGAAAACGCGCTGATCTTATATAGTTGTCCTTCATGCATATCTGTGTACTTCCAGAGAATGTGCAACCTCGCCTTCCCCGGATCTGAGGTGAGCCCAATCATCGAATGCAGAGAGGCTAAAACTCAAATCCCATGGTGGGCCACCGGACAAAAGCTGGCCGTTGCCTGTGAGCCCCGTAAGGGACTCCTGTGCCTCAACAGCGACAACTACGAGGGCTGTAAGGATTACGAAGTGCGCGTCTTCTGTTCCCAGCCCACCCACAGCTATTACACCTGTAACGCCCGTTCTTTGGACTACCGCGCCTACGACAACTACAAGACCTCCCCAGCATACGATACCAAACTCGACGAGACGCCTTACTACGGCAACCTGTACCTGAACATGGCCTTCAAGTACGGAACCAGGAAAGCTCCAGCTCCAGGCCCTGTTGGATACTACTAAATATACTTACTAGGGGATTTTTTTTTCATTATAAAAATAATGAATGGTATTTAATATTTATTTCAAAATAGTCTATAATGGGTATACGATACAGTGTTTTTTATCGCTTTGATCAGCATTTACAGATTAATAAAAGACCACTTGATAACCATTTTGTACTCATTTTTCCATGGGATAATAAATGGAATATATAAATTTATTTTCTGAGTGCCTTTCCTTTCTAAAACAACAACAACAACAACAATAGCAACTACAACAACAACGGCAATAATAATAATAATTATTATTATATAAAAAATTATAGAATGAAAGAAATATAAAGAAACATAAATTGGATGACCGTCAGTTGGATGATTCGGTGAAATGTGGATTGCGTTGGATCAAACGTTAAAGCACAACCATGCTTACGTCGTCCAAGTGTGTTTTCTCATCTGTAGCATCACATCCCAGTCACACACTGGCCTTGGGAACGAAGGCACTTTTTTACGGGAAACGTTTGTATAGTCTCTTGGACCTTTAACCTAAATAATTCTGTACTTTAAAACCTTTATTAGAGACCAGACAATACCGATGCCAAGATTCTTCGGGCGTTTTGGAATGCTTTATTAAGGCGTCTGAAAAAAGTTGGGATATGTTTGGTGAATTCTTGGTGCGTGGTTAATACATGTATTTTGAGACATTTTCATACGATTTAACATTCTCAAAAGTTTCTGAATTGGCAGCAATAAGCACACTAAAATTAGGTGCAAAAGAAAAACCCTCGTTTAAATTCTTAGTTTAATCAGTGGTATATGTATCATTGGTTACTTCGTAAAACACGCCAGAAACAGTTTTGTCTGGAAGTAAGCACATTTTTATTCTTTTATTTTTTTGTTGATCAAAACTTACCGTGCCGCATGTGAAGTCGATGAGGAACAATTCATTACGACAGGAAATTCTTTACAAATAAATAAATAAATAAATAGATAAATAAAGAAAGAAAGAAAGAAAGAAAGAAAGAAAATAAATAAATAAATAAATAAATAAATAAATAAATAAATAAATAAATAAATAAATAAATAAATAAATAAATAAATAAATAAAACCCGGAGTGCGCGAGGAATGAGTGATTAGGGGGTAATATCCGATGCACTAAATCAGTCCCGAATCTTTCACTTTGCTGTCTTTATTTTATTTATCTTGTTTGTTTAAAAAATTGAACATATCTGAATATGACGTAGATCTTAGGCATCTGCCTTTTGTTTATTCCTTTGAATTGAAATTCTATCCATCTATTGACAAGGTGTTACAGAAGAACTTGTTGATAAAAACCACAGTGAACATGGTATTATCAAGCTACATATAATTATGAAATTACAATTACACAAATAAATTGATAAAGAAGTAAATACATGATGCAATTTGATACAGAGAGTGAATATATAAATGTTATATCATAACCACTGTAACACCGCCGTCAGCGTTAACTCCGAATTCAGTCATCGTTCATCATTATAAGGTTCAACGCAATAGATGCAATTGTCATGTACTGTACACATGCTTGTAAGATATATAATTCGCTTGTGTAACTATCATAGTCGTGTTTCCCCAGAATTAAATGCAGATTGCGTCAGCCTGGAAGACACCCTTGAGGGCATGGCATGATTGACCCGCCTTGATGGATACTCGAACAGAATTGCATCACTTTTTAGGGAACGTTGACTTAATCTTGCTGTGAAGTGTTTCTTCTTGGAGGATGCTTGAACTTTCTGATTGAACAACTCGGTATGTGTTAACGACCTACAGATATTATTTCTGTGATTTACGTTGTTTTGTCCAGCGAATCTTCTGAATCTGTAAAGCGATTTGATAAAATCTTTCAGGGATACATACGTTCTCATTATTTCAATTAGGTTGCTGATGCTTTTCTTGGTAAACTCGAAAATTGACTTAATTAATGGTATTAATCTAACTTTCTTCTGAAAAAGCATAAATCTATAGGCATACTTTGTCCTTAAAAAGAGTGCCCTTAACAAAGAGGGTTCACATTAGGCTCAAATGAATATTTTAAAGACAGTAGCTGCTTCTGGTTTAACAGAACATGCCCTCTAATAGCTTACGTGACAGTGTTTTTATTGTAAATGTTAGAAAATATTATATTCGATCCCAAAAAGGCAGCAGATCAAATCGTTTATTTATTTATTTTTTTTTCTATGCAAGGTCACGTTGGGTGTGCATATCTTAATCCATGCATTGGCCAGTTGAACAGTGTTTCAATGTATTTCTGTATGGGATTTTCGTGATAAAACCCAATTTTCCTTGAGAATAAAAATAAATTTTTCCTTCTCATGAATCATTACTCGATCTGCCTCTGGACTTTGATTCAACTTGTACCACTTCAGACCTTCGTTCATAATGAACCATAATTCATTTTGACGGTCGTGTCTTCTTGACTTTTCTTAAGAAAGTATCGACATCGAGTACAATATGTACGCTTTCGATAAACCTTAATTTGAGTCTTTAATGATATCGTTTTAAGGTCTGACTTGGGGGGGTTGGGGATTAGTAGATTTACAGAGTATTTTGGAGATGAAAATGTTAGTGGGTTTGGAGCATATTCAAAATCTCTTTAATTGGCGTGATAGTTGCTGGTAGCTTTTAAAAGATGCACAAATGCGTAGAAGCTGGAGCTGGAAAAGAATTAGGAATTGGGAAAAGAATTAGCTCATACATTTTTGAACCACGTTAGCCATTAGTGAAGGAAGTAGGGCAAAGAGTGGGAGTAATCCCCTGGTCGCTCATTTTTATCTGAATTCCCAGCCGCTTTCTTAGAATTTGCTTCCAACTTCGCATGATAATTGGAATAAAGCTCAAAGCTTAAAGGTTTAAATTTAAGCGCCACGTGTACACGACACCTTCGTGTACCTATGCCAAATTTTACCCAGAGCGGACCTTTTCTCGGCAAAAAGGGCTGTTTGTTCGTCACCCCGTTCCCTTGGTTACGGGCCTGAAAAACAGACAACAGGGCAGTGAGTCAGTTCCAGCTGCAAGGTAGCTGTGGTTAGGCATTTTGAAAGATAGGTGAATAAGACCTATACTACCGGTAAGTATTCGTTTTATCTGGCTTTCGCACGAAGAATGCAGTCATCTTAACCGTGCACCTGACAATTGTAATCCGTATGTAATGAATGCATTTATAACGTACCAGGTATGTACCAAATGTGTAGATGCACGCTATGAAAACAGTTGGGTTGGATTAAACTAGTGCATGTGAGCTAATCCGTTTGCAAGACACCTTTTTTTTAGAATGGGCTAGATCGTGTATGCCACCATCTCAAGTATACTGTAGTTATATCCATTAGATTGTCTATATAGCGTCACAACACGCAAATTTTCATATCAAGCCACTGGTTGTTAAGCTTTATGATCCCCTTGTCGCTTCTGAACGAACTGACGTACAGCATGACATCTCCACAAACAACGGAGTGAAAGTAGATGGTGATCTGCTTGAGGCAGTCGAACCTGAAATACACCTTTACAGGCATGACTCCGTTTTTTCCTCCACAAAAATAATTATGTAACCATTTTATTTGATTTATTTAATAATCATAGGGCGTCCGGTTGACTCCCCTAGAAATAACGGTATTATCAAACATAGCAAAAAATGTATCTTTACATTTATTATTACACAAAATTTGGAGGGGAATAATCTGAGCAACGCTTTGATAGTTCAGAATGAAATAACATTGTACATTTGAATAACACTGCAGATGAAACTGTTCAACAAACCACGTTGTGTGTTTTTACTCTAATATAACACCATAAAGCACAGAGTGACTTTTTTTAATAAATTGGATATACTCATGTCAGGCAAATGATTTTACAACATAAAAGGACATTAAGAGTACATAAGTCATCATTTTACTCAATACAATTCATTAGAATCAATTCCCCCTATATTTCTTCGTAGACTTTTTGACCTCTCTTGCTCATATTAATGATTGATGTCTTGTCTCATTTATTGTTTTCTTATAATTCAGTCGTTCTGAAAGTGGTGGCTGAATCCTAATCTTGTGAGAGACTAATGGGCACGTCTTTAACTCTGGTTGACGGAAAATGTTTTCCCATCTTGCAGAGGTATATAGGCATATAGTTTTCACACCTTGCAGAGGTAAATAGGCATATAGTTTCCCCACCTTGCAGAGGTATATAGGTATATTCTGCAGATTGGTGTGATTTCACAACAATCACAAAATAACGTTCATAACAGATTGTCCTCTCATTATTTTCATTTTAATTGAAAAATAAACTAGAGGTCTTTGGGCCTGATGCACGAGTACTAAAGAAAAAAACGACTGGGTTACAAAACGAATGAAAATCTAGACATGTTACATATTTCCGATAAAGTGTATGCGTTTCCTCTACATTTTATTAGCAAATGCTTTAAAAGAGTTGATCATTTCAACACGTAGACGTGATCTTGTAGTTATGCAGTGAGGGACCGCAAATCACGTCCCCCGTGTCGTGTCTTGTCAGTTCGAAACCACCATTCCCAGAAATTAAACTTTTCATTGCTTTCAGATAGCGGAAAATGATAACAGTATTATTACCCTATTTGAGTGTAAAAATGATTGATCGGTGACCTGAAACGTTTACAAAGGGGGATAAAAAAAAAACGCCCGGTGACTAATCCGAGTGATTGAATTGGATTTAATCTTCCATTAATTTCGAACCCATGAAATTCAATCAGGAGGGGCATATCGATCAAATTAATTGCAAATATTCGACCTCGTCCCCTGAATGCTGTTTGCTTTATTTGTTGTGATATGCAATTCAAAACGAAGGAAATTTCCGTTAAACAAGCCCTTTGAATTTGAGTACTTTTTATTTGTGTGAGCGTGTTGTCGAAATTGTGCATTCGGATAAAAAGAAAGTAAAAAAGTGCATGGAAAGGCTGCAATCAATACTCATTTAATTGGTAATTAAAATGAATCGCCACCGACTTACTGGCTCGTTTGAAAGCACTGCTCTTTTCTGTTCATATTATTTGCCCTATCATAAATATCAAGGACTGGAGAAAGAGGGCAAAAGAATGACCTGTCAATTCTTCTGACTCCTTCTTCACTAAATCCTTAAATTAAAAATTAAAAAAATTACACACCCACACACGCACACAGACAACTA